CCCCTTCACTTTACTTGCTGATATTTTGCACTTTTAATTTCACCTAACAGTCATCTTCACATGAGGGGTTCAAAGTTCTCTATACAGATGCTGATATGCAGATACTGTTCATATTTGCATTCGATAGAGTTGTGTTGTAACCCAAACTCTAAAAATTCACCTGTTTTCATTTACACAGTGAACTTCGCAGATTCATTCGAACTTTCTTTGAATGTGAACTAAATGATCTTCCCTAACTTGAGATATTTGCTATCCACAAACGAACTCTCCGTTATCTTGCACTGTTTTACGTTCCCATGGTAATTTAAGTTGACGGGGTTCAACTGTAATTGAAATGATTACCATGAAATATTCATCATTGGAAATGAAACTGCCTTCTTCACATGGGAGTCTTGCTGCGAAGAAGCAGCGGATAACGATGCAAGAATTATAACAAGCACCGACCTGTCCTCAGTCGTTTAAAATGGGCATAACCATATCGATACCGAGGTATTATTGACAAACAATTAAGATGCATCCATAGTATTTAATTTAATGCGAAGGACAGCTAGCGTGCAGTTATATGCAAAATATGGCTTTTGGGTCTAGCTAACATTACGAAAGCGACAAAACCTGTTATGATAAAACACTGAATATTCAATCGAGCACACGGCTATTTTTCTATTCAGGTAGCAATTTGTCACGCAGAGAAGGTTCCAGCTGCTGTCAATTATTTGCAGAGCTTCAATTATATTCGCTCTCCCTCCAAAACCTGCTGCGGGCTAATGCCTTATTTAGAAAAAAAAGGCGTAGCTCACTCATGAATATAACACAAGTATATTAGCATAAGCTGGCGCTGCCGTCAACTAAAATCAGTCCCTCAACTAGGCGCTGCCTCGAGTCAGTTTGAACCATTAACTCAAGATCTCAACCATGATGAACAAGATCATATTTGTCGGTGCTACCCTCGCCATTTTCGCGTTGCCTGGTGGTAAGTAATCTCAAGGTTTTACATTTTAGTTCATTTTTACTTTCACCTTTTAAACATTGAGCATTTTTGATGAAAAAGCCCGAGCGGTTCCTTGAGCGCAAAATTGCAAAATAGGGGCGCAATTTGGAATGTTAGATCAGTTCAAAGTTTACTTTCCTTCTTTGTGTCTTTCCGATTGAAATACCTCCATATTTTCTTATTTTTCCTTCTCTAGTCCTTTTACTCAAGAATTTCTGACGATTCCTCAACACAAAACGAAAGTTTAGCCGTTTGAATCTCAGTCATGTATAGAGGCTGCGTCACACTTGAAACTTCTGCTCGGCTTGGTTTTATGATAACTTTGCTTCCACGGCAAAGAAGGCATTGATATTTAGTTCTCTTACTTTACTCAGAACTTTTCGTCTGGGGAACTTTGAAATTCGGCGTTGAATTGCAATCACTGAGTAGCGGACATCACCAAATTCATGGCTAGAAGTCTGTCGTTTGAACGAATGATTTCGTGCGAATGAACCGATCGGAATCGGTTATCTCCAGCTCTCGTTCGTTAACTACTAATGCACACCTTGACATAGATTCATTTCCTACTCTCTGCAAAACAGAGCATTTGGCACAGACCACGCGGGTGTGTTTCGCTTGTATGAATAACTCTCTTAAAGAAATTTATTCCATGAGTCTGCGGCGTTTTTACATAACACAACAGCATAACATGCTGACATGAATATACACAAACCTATAGTGGGAAACAGTCGCAAGCTAGTTTTCAGGTATCACACAGAAGATGATAATTCCGGTGTAATATACTTAGCCGTAAGTCTATGTGTTGGTCTTCGGCAGCTTTAAGATTTCAGTTCCTCTCAGTTTGTATTTATTATTTCTGAGTTGGAGCAGCTCTTTAATGCATTTAGGCGTGTGTTATACAGAAATTTCTCGACTGTTTCCGTCGGCTATTTTCTCGTTACCCTTCGATGATCAGTTTAAAACCGCTCGTGGGCACAAGTAGTTACTCGCACCTTTCTGTGGGCAAGCCTGGTTGGTTCCACTCACGCGATATTTTTAATGGATGAAAGTCCTAACAAACCTGAAAACTCTGAGCTAGCGATTGTTTTCAGAGAGTTGTGGCACAATGAACTTATACCAAGATTGTCTTCGGTCTATTTTTAATTAAGAAATATCATTTCTCACGGTAACTTACCGTCGTGATATTGGCGTGGATTTTTCAATAGGAATTCGAATGCTGTGTTTAATGACAGCTTTATCCTTTTGTTCCTTGGTTCTGGTCTGTTTCCCTCATTTACACCCACTGACATAGCTCTCAAAATTCGCGTGCGCTCGTTGGTCGAGAACCATCGTCCTTAGGGCTATCGACGATAAATATGACGCAACGCCAAGCAACCCTCGCCATGTCGGAGGAAAAATTTTTTTCGTTGAAAAGACTGCAAGTTTCTGAAATGTAGACAGTGACAAATTACCGAAATTTAAAATCGATATACTCGATGCCAACCTGATTTACTCATAAATTGTTCACACCTGTTTTCTAGGATAATTTATCAAAATAGAGAGAAGAGGCGACAGGTCTTATAATTTATAGGGATTAAAGAGTTTCAGTGAGACTGTGAAATGCTTATTAATTTATCTTATTTTGCGCACGAGAAGACCTTGAAGAAACGACCTTACTTTGAAAAGAAAGGAATTTAAGGGCTTAGAAAATCTATTCTAACCAGTTTTGTGATTAACTGGTAGTCCTCAACTGAATTATAACTTATAATTTTTTCCTTCTTTAGCATTTGGGTTAATGTGTTACAACTGCACAGCCATGGCGCCCTATGGCAATTCAAATGAACTATGCATGAATTCTAGTGCTTACAAGGAAGTAGACTGCCCTGGAGCACCAAACTGTACCACAGTTATGATCATGGTGAACAATGGATTACGGGCTTATTCCGCTGGATGTGTTGTAAGTACAAAATAATGTGTCATGAATTGTTGTGCTACTTTTAAATCGATCTTTTCAGCTTCTTCCATTCATTAACCTATTTCCACCCGTTAGATTCTACTCGTGAATATTGTTGCTTTTACATAACGGAATAACTTTAAGTCTAAACAGCCTCTGAATAGAAGTTTTACCGGTAAAAACGGGTGATTGATCTCCAAATGTGTTAAAGGTACGTTGTAAAGATATCTTATAAGAAAAATTATTATTTAAACAAGAAACAAAAATATACATGCGAGGCGTCATCGCTAAAAAAAATTACACAATTGTAAATGTTGAAAGACAGTGCATAGCAGATCAAAGGGCTTTTTACTTATTGGATCTTGTGTGTTAAAACACTTCATTTCGTTTCTCTCCTCAGCCTGCTAATTCAAACTGTACCTTCTACAATGAGACCGTATGCAATGATGTTATAGAGAAGGGCAAGGACCACAATGTGACTGTTACCTGTTCAGCAGAATGCTGTCAGGGAAAAAATTGTAATATGCCGCATCTTCCCACGACACCACCAACATCCACGACCGAAACAAGTGGAAATAACAGTACGACAGAAGCTCCCTCCGCTGGAGTTGAGTTCCTTGCACCTAAGGTCATCGCTTTGTTGGCCGCCTACCTTTCAGCCCTATACTTTGGAAAGCAATAAAGTCTTGAGGTCACTTTAGGCAACAACTTGCCGAGAAACAGCAGCTTCACAAACTGCTTCTAAAAGTTTAAAGCACATTTTTCATTTCTTTTAGCCGCGCATGAAGTTTCTTTGAATCTGTTCGTGATGTGCATGTTTTTACTGCTTATATTAGACGATGGGAATGAATGTAGTTAGATGAGTGTGAACGTCTCTTTTGAATTTAATATTAATATCAATACTTTCGGATATCATTGGCACCTTGTATAGTCAATGAAAATTTTTTTAACTTTAGACTTCATAGCTTAGCGCCTAATAATTGTTTTTAATTTTTTTATTCTTAAACTATTGTTTTTGGATGGAAATATAAAACAGAAGTTTGTAAACATTTCCTTCAAGACAATAAAGCACGTTGTTTCGTTGCATTCATTTTGGAGTGGCAGTTTTTTTCGGTGATACGGGAGCCTCACTGTTAAGAAAACAGTTAATGGTAACTGAACATTTATATTTCTATCTATACCGATTTGAACCTCTCGTTTGGTAACTTCTCAAAATTCATGGCTTACGCTGAACCTAATATTGCTCTTAGTATCATCACTCATACCTTATACTAGATCCAAGGCTTCCAACCTGGGGGTGGGAAGGAGTAAGAGAGGGGGAGTGTGCGGAGAATTGTATCGAAACTTACCGTAAGTTGAAATGCCTTTAATTATATTCTTTTGAATCGATATCTTCATTTTATTGAATAGCATATGCTGGATGTGTCTTTTTGATGGAAAATCAAGTACATTTCAAGTGGAAACTAACATGGGCATTCATATGAATTTATATTTCGTGCTGTAGTGCCACCTAGCCATAATAACAAGAAGGCATTTCCATCAGTGTCGTAAAACGAAAGCAATCACAACAGGCAATCAGAGGAAGCCGATAAGAACTCATTGTTCTGAAACAGGCAAACTCCATAAAGCGAGGGGGAACACCAGTGGTTAGGTTGCGATTGGTTGAACTATGACCAATCACCTCATTACCTCTGAGACAGATCTCATCACGTAGATTTGATCAGTTTAAACATTAGAGGGCTGTCACAAAGGCCGGCTAGGGAACTTTTAATTGGCCAATATTTCGACTTGTATTATTGGTCTTCCTTGGGGCTGGTGTTTTATGTTTTCTTTAAAATGGTGCTTTGAAAGTCTGGTCACGCGATGAAAAGGGGATAGAAACTTTCTTTCATGCCATGTAGAGCAGTTCAAGAATTCAGTCGGCATTGCTGGACGATGGAGTGTATTTTAATTGCATCGTAAACCAAAGCAGAGTAACCACAGTGGCCAATCATAACAAAGAGAACACCACAAGAGGCCAATCAAAGAAAGGGGGAAACCACAAGAGGAAAATAGAAACTCATAGTATACAACCTCTTTTAAGCGCGGGAATACGCAAGTGGCAAAGTGGTGATTGGTTTAGTTTTGCATCCGATCGGTCGAAAGGGTGGCATAAGTTTTCAGGACCAACCACAGACGGCATCAAAGCATGATCAATGCGAGCCAAGATCACTTTTTACACCCAATTTACAATGGCTCTGATAAGTACTTCCTTTCAAATCTTTCTCAATTTGGTCGCAACAAAGAAAATTTACTTCCTTCGGCGCCTAACGCCACAAAAATAGTTTTATTGTGCTCAAGAAGTGGCCATCGGCAAAAAGGGAAGCCAGTCCCAATCCAATGGAATTATTTACACCATTTGCTTTCTCAGTAATACTATTCAATGACATTCCACCATTAAATATATCTACAATCATGTTTTCTGTTGTAAATGTAATAAAGAAAACGTAGGTAAACTTGAGTGAGTTAACTCAATTTAACGGATTTAAACTGATCTCTTGTAAAATTTTTTGAAACAGCTGCTTGACAAATATCATCACTGCTTCTCCTCAAAAATAAAATATTCAGTGATTATTAAAATACCTAGGGTAAAAAATCGTATACCAATGCTAAAGCTCTGTAATGGGTGTTTTTCTAGAGCCCCCTTGGGACAATCTAAAAAGTTCGTCTTTTATTGATTTAATTAAAGGTTGTGGAGATTGTCCGAGTGTAGATCCCCGCTGGTTAAAAGTACCGTTGGCTGACATGTTGAGTACGGTGTCGTGAGGTGGCATGCCCTGGAGATGAGATAGGAAACTTGCGTCCTTAGGAGGACTGGTACCTAGCGCGCCTGGATAACTTGCCTAAAGCATCAAAAGAGAAGAATATCTGATTAACAAAAAAAGATCACGAAATAATTACTCTGACTCTTTGAATTTAATGTGGTTTTATAACACTTTTCTACTGATCTACCGACCAATTTCAGTATGTGAGAAATTACGTACCCACCCCTCCCCTAACCCAGCAACAGTTAAAAAATAACAAGAAGTTGCGCAGTTGCACAGATACTGGCAGTGTTCCTTTAAACTCTAACTTACTTGAGCCAAATCAGGATAAAGTGCATCCATTGAGTCTTCAGCGGCGTAAGGACTCCATACAAGACCACCCTGATGTAAACAGAAAAAAAAACGTCATTCACAAATTGAACATAAAGAAAGCTTCGATAGGGAAACATAAATGACATTGCTGCTCAGCATTGGTTCAGTTCCAAGCCCTGTGGTCATTCTATTTGCCATAGTTAGTCAGCAGTTTCCAATTTTTTAGTAAACTTGCCGACTGCTGACTCAAGGGAAATTTTCATACTTGAGACGTCTCAGCCAAAGCTAACAGTGGTTGTCGGAAGGATTTCTAGAACCTGTCTTGTTACAAACAACGTGTAAGTATAGAATCTTTCCCAAAACTTTCACCGTAAGAGGATTTTTCTATACTGATACAAGCCAAGCTAAATTTCAAATATTACACGGAACGAATTCACATGATCATCAAATTTGTTCTATTCATGCTGAGTAATTGTAGAATCCTATGGAATCTTTTTTGTCAGAAATTGCCAAACGGCTCTGGCGTCTGTGTCCCACCAGTTTCAATTTAAGCAAATTTATTTTCTCGTTTGTTCCTTACCATATCACTTCGTTGCTGTTGCACTGGGGTTATATAGACATTTTGTCCACTAGGGTCTGTGTACGCATACGTCGGAGGCGGCGCCCGCTGGTTCAAAATTCTGCAGATTAGAAAGATCACCAAGCACTCAAAATGATTATGACTTTATTGCGATCACACCCCCTTTCGATCTAAAAATTAGGAACGCATGATAGTAATTCAAATAAACAAAATAGCTCACCGTTGTCTATCTGCAGGGTCCCAGACTACTATTGGATCACGTGTCACAACCGGTCGTACAGGAGGTCGGCCTGGGTAACCCGGCATGCTAAGATGGGTCTGAGGCATACCTACTGGGTAACCAGGCATTGTTGGCTGAACGCGCTTCCGCTGTCCAGGTGTCGGTTCTGTGGCTCGACCGTGGGCTGGGGGTGGCTCTGGCAAAGCAGGCTGCCCTCCGGTGTATCTATACATGAAGGTTTAAATTTAACATCGTTAACAAGTTCAATCTAATAAGTAATCTGTGATCTTTGGCCGATTTCGAGGGAGCTATGTCACCATACTTGGATTCATATTCAAAGATGTGTGCAATAACTCTCCTCTACATTAAAAAGGCTCCAAAATGTCAGACCGGTATCATGGCATAATGAAAAAGAAAATTGACAAACTTCGGCGGAACAAGCATGATAATAGTGAGAAAGATTCAAACGGGTTGGAAATTCCAAACTTGAAAAATCTGCGCTCGTTTTTCCAAATTAGCAGACTGTGTGGCAACTCCATTTAAGGATGAAAAGATATAAGATCCTACAATTTTTGTACAACGGCAGCACATATTAAGTTCTCAGACAAAGAGGCTGAGTAAAAATCAAAACGAGACAGCAGACTTTCCATTAAATCAACTCACCTTGGAATAACAGCTGGACGAGCTGGGGTCGAGGAATATACCTGTGTGGGATGGGGGACGGGATGCGAAGGATGTCCCTCGGGTATTTTTTCAGGTTTCTTCGCGGACTGTGGTCCTAATAGGGAGAAAGCGTCATCAAGCATAGCGTGCATACGTCTACGTGTTTCATTCATGTCAATCTCGGATTCCTCTTCGCTTGACGGATTCGAGGCCGAGTCCACAGAATTCCCGCGCTTCTTGCCACGATCCTGAAATAATAAATTACAGGGTAGTCCTTAAAAGCTGTAATGGGTCAAATCTAGCCATTCATATCTTGCCATAATTAAGCGTGAAATTCAAAATTAACGCTTGAAACCGTGAAGTAGAGAGACAGATAAAATGATTCAAACGGGTTTCAATTTCAAGTTTTCTTAAACAGTTCTGCCTGGCAGTTTTTCAAAGTTTATCTTTGTCGTACGAAATATTTCATTTCTCGCTCCAGATCATGTTAGAGCGAATAGTTGGCGAAACAGCTTCTTTGAGAAATAACTGACATTAATTTTGAAAGATGCGATAACGTAACACCTTTTGGGCAGCCTGGGAAAGCTACAAATAATAATGATAACGACGGCTTATCACTAGCTTTCTGACACGCTTTTGGCTTTCACAGGGCTAAAACAATCTTAATTCTGACAACCAAATCAGGATTCTATGGGGCGCCGGCTATGAAGTTAATGATCAATAAGAAAACGAAGAATACAAATCATACCCGTGTACTCGTAGAGGATGCTGTTTTCGGACTTTTCAGTTTGCGGTAACTCTTCAGATGCGGCACTCCTTCTTCATCCGTAGCCACTGAACTGCTTGGGGGACGTTTCCTTCGTGGTTTTCGCTTCTTCCCACTGCAAATGAAAATCTTTTGTTTAAAGACCCAAATAAACCACAAACATCTAGAACAATGAGAATAGAACGGAAGGAAGGAATGAACGTGAAGACTTCCCACAACAAAAAATACCTTCGACTCCGATCATATATTCTTAAGCGACCGTGAAAGCATACTTCCAATCTTTTCCTTAACATACATTCTACAAGATACTAATTGAAAATCAAAGAACTGAATATCAAAATTCGCCGGAAAATTTTTCAGTTTAATCTTGTGACTTTTCAGCAAGGAAAATGCCTGCATTGGCTGAGGGCAAAAGCAATATTCTTGGTCATACAAACGAGCCTTAGTGAAAACAATTTCACAAATATGAAGCCATCATTTCTTCAAAACGTCCTTCATTCCCATGATCAACTTTAACTCCCAAATGCCACTTCTCAGAAGGAATGCATGGTTTATGTCAAGAGGAAATCATATTCAGTTCAAATGTCTGACAGGCTCCTACGAAGAAGTTTCGATCATTATCGCAGATACCAACAATCAAAGGGGTATCATAGCAGATATAGTCCATGGTAAACCAATATTCTGTACACAAATACTCACGTGATCACTCGCTCCGCATCATCGTCTCCGAGAGCATCGTCGATGTCATGCTGAGCTCTATCCCAGGCTCTCCTCTCGCTAACAACTGCACTTCCTGGGCTTCGAGAATCATTACGCTTCCTTTCTCGCAGTCTTTGCCTGTTCTTTTGCCGTTCCCAGGCCGCTCTCTGTTCCAACTCTTTTCTCTTCCCTTTGCCTTTTCGGCGGCCTCTTGAAGAGTCATCTTCGGATGGCGGCTAAGATACAAAATCACGCGTTGGCTCAAGAGGCACTGCCTTACTAACTACAGTAGCTATTCGGCAGAGTTTAAAGCAATTACAATTATACTGAGTTAGTAATCTCGACATTGAGAACTGACGATCAATAGAGGGAAGCCTAAAACTAAAAGAGTAAACGTACACCACAGAGAACGATTATGCTTGCTGATAGAGACAGATTTAAATTACAGATAGAGAACTTAAACATATCAGGTAATGTTTTAGACACAAAAAATTGTAACTGTTGCTGAACACGGCTTTTTGAAATTGGAAATGACAACGGTCAGGAAACTTCCTCGGTTAGTTATCGAGGGCCAAAAATTTTATTTCTTCTTTCACATTTACCTCTACTTTAACTCCAACCAAAGATTTCTGCTTCGGATCTAATGGGGGAAGGCTTGGGGCGGGATGTACTGAGGAACGGAACCGCACAGGGGGGTAACGTGGGGGACCGCTAGCCTCACTCATTACGGCAACAGTTGGCATTTGGCCCGGTGAATGGCTTGGCTGGAAATAAAGATAAAAAACCCTAATCTGTTACAAAAAAATGTTTTTAAAAATAATTTTCCTGAAAAATTAATTATTGAACTTCGAAAGAGGCCCTCGTGAAGGCTGGTTTCGTATGTAAAATTCGATTGTTTATCGTTCCACAGGCCTCTGAGGTTGGGCTGGAGGGTGCTCTCTGGAGACCGGTGGTGGTTTTGCTGACGTTTTTCCTTTTGTTAACGCCTCAGTACTTCCAGTAGGTGTGACAGATACTGGGCTTTCTTCGCCTTCTTCTTCTTCCTCTTCCTCAAAGGCGGGGTTTGTCCTGGCAAGAGGGGACAGAAACCAAAGTTGTTTATATAAAATTACAGTCACAATGCACACTTCAAAAACGGCCATCGCCTCAGTTATGGCGAAAATGATAATAGTCATTACTACTCATAGGAGTCAAGAATGCCATCTCTGTGGCTCGTTAGCATCAATAACTGTCAGGGGTGAAGGGAATAATAATCCATTTATTGTCATGTGATGAAGTCTACAACTTCTTGGAGGGGTGGATCAACAGACGAGACTATAAGATACTTTGGTACCGTAATTGAGTCTTAGTGAATGAGTATTTATAGGACTGGTCCGAAGAACAAGAAACTGAACAGAGAATCTTTCATCCGCCACTTACTGCCTTTGTTCCCTAACCGGTAGTTTCTGTATTGGTCGCTTGGGAACCTTTCTCCGCAAAGAAGTTTCTCGTCTTGTGGATTTTGCCTCAGCTTCCTCATCATCAGTACCAGAGGTCGGGGAACGCGCCATAAAAGCCGTTGTCTTCATACCTTTAGATACTCCTGGTTCGGTGTAACGAGCTACGTCAAACCCATGGACAGGCTGAGGGTTGAAGAAAAACAATCAAATGAGAATTGGTATAGCATTCCAAGAATGATTTGGAAGAAATTATATGTGCGGTACAATTCTGTGGTTTGGTAACTGCAAGAGATTTCAAGGAGCTATGGCCGAGTTTGGACGTCTTGGTAAATTCGTCATTCTCAATCCGTTTGAATCTCTTCCAACCTTACAATTCCATCTTCCTCGGTCCATTACAGGACATATTATACTTTGGGTCTAGAAACATTGAACGAGGGATTCAACATAAACAAATAATGTGTGTATGTATTCGTTTCGCTTAACAGTCTCGTGTTTACCATCAATGAAAACAGAATTTCAACACCAGGAATCCTTCCAGAGAAGGAACAACTCAAGCTAAAAGAGGTCTTGAAACGAAGCCCTGCAGACCTCTTCTTCGGGTTTATTTGGCTATAAGCTGTCACTTTGCTATAAGCAAAAAATTCTTACCCTTCTCTTGTCTTTTTCCAACATTTCAACCCTATGTGGATCGACCTTGGATGTCGGTGCTCCTTTCTTCCATCGGCACCAGATTAACCCCACTATAATAATAAACAATAAAACTGGGCAGATGACCGCAGGAATAATCCACCATTTGATTGGTAATGAAGCCACGAAGGGCGGTATTTCAGTGGTCGGCACTACTGCTTGTCTGGGAGCAGTTAGGATCTAAATCATGTATTAAAAGAATGTCACAATTCACGACATCAAAAACACATATTCGGGTAAACCAGGACAAAGGCTCACGGGAAATCTCTATGTGGGGCGCGGAATGGGCCCAATTTCAAATGAGGCGCTTCAACAGTCCCATTTGTTTGTTTCTGAGCAAGGACACGCTATTTACAAAGGGGACTGCGCTGTCAGCCAGAAGAAGATGTTACTGCCTGGTGTATAGCGATATACACAGGGAACAACCGCGTACGTAAGTACACATTTAACTGGTCTGTGCTATGTAAGTAAATCTTGCCGCATATGGTCTGGTTAATGAGGTCATCTGGCTGGTGCTCAGTCGATTCATGACAGACACCACATAACTGGAGTTCACAACTTTACCAGAGTCAAACATGAAAAACGTAACATCTACTTCAGAGGCCTGGGAATCAGTTTTTCTGACAGCGTCTTTAATCTGATAAAAAAAATTCAGACGCTTTGTTAGCCTGCCACTTAACACTCACACATACTCACCCTCTACAACTGGATGAATCTTAATGAGAATTATCATTGAAGAGCAGTACTTGTAACAAGTCTTATTTTGGAAGACCTTTGCCGTGGAGTAAACCAGAATCGAATATCTACCCTATCAGCACCTTAATGATAAAAATACCCGACAGGTTCACGAAAGCTATGGTCCTAGCTCCTCTTCTGTAAGAGACGAAAAAAGGCCCAAAATACTTCTTAGAGGTGAGCCAATTAACTCACAACACCTGACCCATCTCCGAGTTCCAAACCATGAAGCGACCAGAAGTGTTTCTATATTCCCGGGTGGGATGCTAGTCAGTCGTAAATAACCACCCCCCCCCCCCTCCCCTAACGACACCTTAGCATTTCTTCAGGTTTCTCAACAGTTCATTAAGCTCTATGAGACTCAAATGTCCTGCCGAATCACACAACACAATGGCCGGGCTACGGCTAGACCCCAAACCTCCAGATCCGGAGTACAGTGGGCTACTGTTTCAGGCTACAGTTCAAGTCACTGCGTAGCTCTTCAACTATTCGATTGTAATGGTAACTTTTGAAACTTACAGTTGCGCTTGTGCTTCCGCTGCGTTTCTTTCTCCGCGAACTGATCTTGCCCTTAGCGTTCTGATACACCGTAGCAAGTTTGCTCGCTAGGTCACTTCTGAACGAGGCGCTGGTTAAATCCACACTTTCCGATACACTAACACCTATGATGACGTGATCCGCTTCAGTAGCGGTGAGCGAGTCAGGAATGTAAACCTGGACCAAGACCTGTGAACAAAACAACAATTTAGTTGAAATCTAGTCACGTACTACTAACAATCCCTATACTCCTGATTACAAAAACTAGCGACTCGAAATGGAGAATATAAGAGCAAAATACTATAATTTTGTTTTTAAACTATAGAAAGCGGAACTGCTTCACCTATTCTGGAGTCAAACTTATCAAAAGAGGCAGAGGAAGCGAGAAAGTTGACCCTAAGGCAATAGTTTGTACATGATCGTTAGATACCTCAACTTCAAGATCTGTGTTGAGCAAGTTGACATGAGGAACTTTAAAGGTTTCGACCACATCAGTTGCATTAACAGGAGTGCCATCAACAGAGATCCAGGTACACAATGTTATTTGGTTCATGTTATTTGGTTCATGGATGATAGTCGTGATCTGAAAACAGAAATAATCATCAACTTAACAAAAATACAAATCAAGGTTAAACCTCCAGGCCAAAGACACTGAACCCTACTTGTGCTTTTAGAAAATCACCCTGATGTTTACTTTAATCCTTGTTTTTTAAATCCCAGAGAAGTAACTTACTGTAGCGGTAACAGGGGTTGCTGACTTCTTCTGCTTTCTGTAATAGGCAGCCAGGTTGTCTTCCAGCTTCTTTTTATTTGCTGGAGCAGAGATGTTCTCACTCACAGACGATGCAATGATTAAGGACACAAGGATATACGATGGAGGTGATTTAGTTGGTAGTACTACCAAGGCCTCAGGCATGTTAACAACCTACGCGAGATTATATCATGTAGCACGGTTAGTATTCAACAGGATTCCTTGTTTTTTTCATGGAGTCCAAAGACTCATAGCTTGACAGGGGAGTCAATTACACCTTGCCCACGATATAGGCCAGAAAAATTGAGTATTTCTTTTTGTAAAGCAGCATGTAGCCTGACATGAGACAAATTAAAGAAACCAAGACTTGATTTGATTCTATTTGGCATTGTGTATTTATTACGAAATAGAAAATCTTTTGTAGTAGTTCATCACATATTCTTATATTGAGTCAAATTTTTCATATTTACAACCTAGAAGTTCACGCAGTGTGCAGGCTGTTTTACAATTTGTTAAGTAAGTATATAGGACACAAGAGTAGACCTCCACTTCATTGAATGCCAGCTTTAAGAGAACATTTTTACAATCCAAAGAACAAAAAATCAATAGTTTTGTAGTATTTGAGATTGCTATCCCAATCATTGTTGTTTTTGTTCTATTTTTCAATACGGAGTTCTCTCCACTGTTCAGTGCAGTGGTGGTCTACTGAAACTACCCTAGATATATATGTTACCCTCACGGTAAACTAACCGTTACTCAGGTTCTTCAGGATCAAATGTTTTTTTCCTTTTCTTGCTCCTTGCCTCAAGGAGATCTTTTTCCCAGTATTCTGTATTTGATTTATTATATGGCCTTTTCTCCCTTTCTGATTTACGTCGTGCCCATTGTCTGGCCTCAACTTTTAGGACATCTGAGGCAGCATCCCATTTATTTGATTTATGTAATACAATGTTTCTAGCATAATCATTGTTTTTCTCCACACCCTGCCCTGTGAAAATTTTTACAGACTTGTGGGTCCTGAAGAACTTGGGGATATGGAACACCATAGCATGGATATATGGTGTTATTCATGCACGTTCATAGCCCTTTCTTTTGTCTCTAAGAGAAATGAAAAGGTTTACCCAGCTTTTAGCCTTTTCAAAAAAATCTGTAATTTGCTTATCTGAATTTTGACCACTTCCTATCAATTTTCTTGACAGTGTTTGAAGTTGAAGTCTGAACAACACTTAAAATTTTGCCTGGGAGCTCTCTCAGGGGTTGCTTTTTGTCATTCCCAAGCAAACTTGTAAAATCATAGGTGCCTGATCCCTTTCCATCAGCATTGGTTTTTTCCCATATATCAAAACTAACCCCACATGAGCGTACTGCAGCCTGCAGCCTCTCTCGATGAACACCTTTCTTTTCTCTCCTTTTCTTATTTAAATCATCTGTTTTGTCCCACTGTAATACATCTTCCAGTAAATTATTTAGTAACACATAAACTACTCTGAGTAAAAGGTGCAATTCGTCTAAAATTACATGATCTAACTCAATGTTTAATAGAGGCTCATGTTCACAGCAAAAATTTTCTCTGCCCTTTTTTGATAATTCTTTTAATTCTTTTAGTGTTCTTTGGTGGCTTATTGTAAAAATCTTCCTCGTGGTTAATATCCCATCTTTTATCTTTGTGAACTTTGCACCAGGCACAAGCATAGAATGAGGTGGCACCTTTGAGACCCAACATGATTAAAATGAATTTATAATCTCCCCCCAAAAAGAATTCAAGTTTTATTTCTTTCCCATTAATTGTGATTTTGGTCATTGAATTTAGATCATTTATGTCTGAAAATACATTAGCAAATGACTCCTTCAGTGTTTCATAATTTTCTGAGCCCTTCACAATGGCGATTGTGTTATTTCCCCTTGCTGACATTAAATGACTGTTATTTTGCAACAAAGCAAAAGAAAGAATGATAAAGGTTGTATTGCAAGTCATCCTTGCCCCATCCCCTGATATTTTAACTTTAACACTTTCATTTTCAAAATCAAATTCTGGATTTTGGTTGATTAAATCTTGCACCCTTTACTTGAGAAGTTCCTTGAAAGAAACTTCTGCACCCTCAGCCCTCCCAGGTATAGATACAATATGGCACATGTCATTTAGTTGTGTTCGCCGTTGCTTGATTAGATATGATTTTGGAAGATCATTATACATTGAGAACTCAATGATAAAATGAGTCCTCCACACAAAATTTGTCTAAAAAAAATAAAATTTTATCTACTTTTTCTTTTTCCTCTTCTGAAAGGGAGTCGGACCCTGTGGCAGTGTTTTCTTGCTGCTCATCACTGGCCATTTTTACATTATGCTTGCTTCCAGTCTGGACTTCTATCATGGCAATTGACTCAATTTCTAGTCCAAAGGACTTGGCAAACGACAGTGCTGTCTGAGCTCTTGTCATGAAAGTCTTCAAAGTCCTCGACTTTTTCTTTACTTGAGAAATGTCTTCCCCTTGTAGTCTTGCTGAGCTGTCTGCAGGCGTTCAATTTAATCAATTAATTCTTTATTTGTGGTCTCAGCTTTTTCAACATCATCTTGAAGTGTTCTTATTTCAGCTTGCATTTCATGAAGCATTTTTCTCTTTTCTTCCTCCAAATTTGCATAGTTTGATTTCCACTCTTCAATTTCTTCATGCAGGGAAGAGTTCAACTCCTTTAGTTGTTCATTTTCCCTCTCCAGCTCTGCTGCTGACTGAACATGTCTCTCAAACACATGGAACTTTTTTATTTTCGAGTTCAGGGCAAGGCCCTTTCTCCCCCTGATCTGCTTGTATTGAGACTTCACAGAAGAAGCTAATTTTCGCAGAGATTCATTCAACTCTTTTCTCACTTCTTCCGATTTTCTGATAGAAAACAGATTGCTAGGAATAATAAGTTCAAACAAGTCTATATAAGTTTTATATTTTTTCCTCATATGTTTCTGAAATACTTCTAGCGTATGCGTGATCGGACCTTGCGTCAGTTCACCATCCACGTGTTCTTCTTCCTCTGTCCCTTCATTTTCTGGTTTATCAGGGAATTCATTCCAAGCTTTAAGCATAGGGAAAGGTATGTCAAAGGTAAATGCAACATTTTCCGCCATGGACTGTGAGACATATTTCGATTAGTGGCTAGCAGATTCCCCCCTTCACTATACTTGCAGATATTTTGCACTTTTAATTTCACCTAACAGTCATCTTCGCACAAGGGGTTCAAAGTTCTTTATACAGATGCTGATATGCAGATACTGTTTATATTTGCATTCGATAGAGTTGTGTTGTAACCCAAACTCTAAAAATTCAACTGTTTTCATTTACACAGCGAACTTCGCAGATTCATTCGAACTTTCTTTGAATCTGAACTGAATGATCTTCCCTAACTTGAGATATTTGCTATCCACCAACACGAACTCTCCGTTACCTTGCACTGTTTTACGTTCCCATGGTAATTTAAGTTGACGGGGTTCAACTGTAATTGAAATGATTACCATGAAATATTCATCATTGGAAATGAAACTGCCTTCTTCACATGGGAGTCTTGCTGCGAAGAAGCAGCGGATAACGATGCAAGAATTATAACAAGCACCGACCTGTCCTCAGTCGTTTAAAATGGGCACAACCATATCGATACCGAGGTATTATTGACAAACAATTAAGATGTATCCATAGTATTTAATTTAATGCGAAGGACAGCTAGCGTGCAGTTATATGCAAAATATGGCCTTTGGGTCTAGCTAACATTACGAAAGCGACAAAACGTTTTATGATAAAACACTGAATATTCAGTCGAGCACACTCCCTTATCTTGCACTGATTTACGTTCTCATGGTAATTTAAGTTGACGGGGTTCAACTGTAATTGAAATGATTACCATGAAATACTCATCATTGGAAATGAAACTGCCTTCTTCACATGGGAGTCTTGCTGCGAAGAAGCAACGGATAACGATGCAAGAATTATAACAAGCACCGACTTGCCCTCAGTCGTTTAAAATGGGTACAACCATATCGATACCGAGGTATTATTGACAAACAATTAAGATGCATCCATAGTATTTATGCTTTTTCCCCCTATCCAGCTTGCTAAGTAACTAAAATACTGGGCTGCTTCTCCCGGGCTCGTTTACTGGGCACATAAAAATCACACAAACACATTGATCTGGAGTAAAAATGGGTGAGGGCAAAGGCCCAAAGCCGGTTTAATCAGTAATCAAAACTGAATCAATTATTACCCAAAACATTTGAATCTGGGAAAAATAGCTTGCCCATTAAAGGTGAGGGCTGAAAAAACGCCAACAAAATCAACTATTAACTTGAGCTAAAACAAAGACATGTGGCTGGAATAAGGGGAGGAGGCGGGTTACAAACAAACGTGTCACTTGCGAAGAAATTCGAAGTGAATGACTCTGTGAATTCTGTCACGAGTATAAGACTCCACAAAAGGTGGGGGGTCCATACATTGCAATACTCGCACCCCTTAACCAGGCCTGTCACGCATCTTGCATTGTCATGCAACGCTCTCTACACGTGACTAACATATATCAGCAATTATCACAATAATAGAACATTAATAATCGGGGAAAAAGCATAAAAATCCTATTCGCGGGCAAATATTTTCTTTAATTTAATGCGAAGGACAGCTAGCGTGCAGTTATATGCAAAATATGGCCTTTGGGCCTAGCTAACATTACGAAAGCGACAAAACCTTTTATGATAAAACACTGAATATTCAATCGAGCACACGGCTATTTTTCTATTCAGGTAGCAATTTGTCATGCAGAGAAGGTTACAGTACTGTCAATTATTTGCAGAGCTTCAATTATATTCGCTCTCCCTCCAAAACCTGCTGCGAGCTAATGCCTTATTTAGAAAAAAAAAAACGCGTAGCTCACTCATGAATATAACACAAGTATATTAGCATAAGCTGGCGCTGCCGTCAACTAAAATCAGTCCGTCAACTATAGGCGCTGCTCGAGTCAGTTTGAACCATTAACTTAAGGTCTCAACCATGATGAACAAGATCATATTTGTCGGTGCTACCCTCGCCATTTTCGCGTTGCCTGGTGGTAAGTAATCTCAAGGTTTTATATTTTAGTTCATTTTTACTTTCACCTTTCACCGAGCGGTTTCTTGAGCGCAAATTGCAAAATAGGGGCGCAATTTGAAATGTTAGATCAGTTCAAAGTTTACTTTCCTTCTTTGTGTCTTTCCGATTGAAATACCTCCATATTTTCTTATTTTTCCTTCTCGATTCCTCAACACAAAACGAAAGTTTAGCCGTTTGAATCTCAGTCATGTATAGAGGCTGCGTCACACATGCTGACATGAATATACACAAACCAATAGTGGGAAACAGTCGCAAACTAGTTTTCAGGTATCGCACAGATGATAATTTCGGTGTAATATACTTAGCCGCAAGTCTATGTGTTGGTCTTCGGCAGCTTTAAGATTTCAGTTCCTCTCAGGTTGAATTTATTATTTCTGAGGTGGAGCAGCTTTTTAATGCATTTAGGCGTGTGTTATACAGAAATTTCTCGACTGTTTCCGTCCGCTATTTTCTCGTTACCCTTCGATGATCAGTTTAAAACAACTCATCGGCATTAATAGTTACTCGCACTTTTCTGTGGACAAGCCTGTTGGTTCCACTCACGCGATATTTTTAATGGATCAAAGTCCAAACAAACCTGAAAACGCTGAGCTAGCGATTGTTTTCAGAGAGTTGTGGCACAATGAACTTGTACCAAGATTGTCTTCGGTCTATTTTTAATTAAGAAATATCATTTCTCACGGTAACTTACCGTGGTGATATTGGCGTGGATTTTTCAATAGGAATTCGAATGCTGTTTTTAATGTCAGCTTTATGCTTTTGTTCCTTGGTTCTAGTCTGTTTCCCTCATTTACACCCACTGACATAGCTCTAAGAATTAGCGTGCGCTCGTTAAGGTTATCGACGATAAATATGACGCAACGCCAAGCAACCCTCGCCATGTCGGAAGAAAAATTTTTCTCGTTGTAAAGATTGCAAGTTTCTGAAATGTAGACAATGACGAATTACCGAAATTTAAAATCGATATACTCGGTGCCAACCTGATTCACTCATAAATTTTCACACCTGTTTTCTAGGATAATTTATCAAAATTGAGAGAAGAGGCGACAGGTCTTATCATTTAAAGGGATGAAAGAGTTTCACTGAGACTGTGAAATAATTATTATTTGATCTTCTTTTGCGCATGGGAAGACCTTGATAAAATGACCTCACTTTGAAAAGAAAGGAATTTAAAGGCTTAGAAAATCGATCCAAATCAGTTTTGCAATCAATTGGTAGTCCTCAAATGAATTTTAACCAATATTTTTTTCTTCTTTTAACATTTGGGTTTGTGTTACGACTGCACAGCCACGAGACCCTATAACATTCCAAGTCAACAATGTATGGAAGGAGGCATTGAGATCATGGTGAACGGCTTAAAGATTTATAGCGTGGGATGCGTAAGTACAATAAATGTGTTATGTGAATTCAGTTTTAAAGCATCTTGTCGTCATTTTTTGTTTATGGTTTCCAGAGAGAGAGGGAGAGAGTGTGTACCTCTTGTGTCATCAGGGCCATCAGATGGTTTTGATGCAAGGAGGAATTCTAAGGGAATGTTTTCTCTTTTTTTTTTTTGTAGAAAGGAGCTTCAGCCCAGACATTTTTCACTAACTTTGTTGAGAGCGTTTTAACAAAGCTGAATGAGGTAGTCACTTCTGATGGTGAAGATGTCAAGCTAGAGATATTGAAATTGTGTGCAAAAATGTCACCGCATGGTTTGACAGATGAAAATATCAAAGCAACTATAGAACCTGTCTACAACTTGCTTTTGGTAAGATGTTTCTGGGGTAGTGGCTTTCTGTCCTTGTTTTGGCTAACCATTCAAATGGTATAAATTGCCTGTACCAGGAAGTAAATGTAAAGACTTGACAACCCTCACACCTTTGGAGGTGGAGATAAATTATTGTATCTCAGGGTACAGATACATGTGTCTCTGCGCATTTCATGAAGGTTTTCCTTTGCTTCACCTGTAACCACTTTAACTTCTGAGTTTATTGACAATTTTTTGAGGTTTAGGTAGTTAAAAACCTGAGTAAATTATCAAGAGAGAATCATAAAATTAGTCATTTACATGTAGTTGAAGATTGCAGCAAAGGGTTTACAGAAAACGCTTCATTTCGTTTCCTTCCTCAGAATCTTAACACGAAGTGCCCTAAACTTAATAAGACAGTATGCAGTAAAATTATATGGAAAGCTGGAGTCAATGTTACCTGTTCAACAATGTGCTGTGTTGACGAGAATTGCAATGTCCTAATATTGCCTACGACAGTGGGCACACCATCTGGAGGGGCGAGTCCCGAAGAGACAACTCCCTCCACTGGACTTGGACGTCTTTCACCTGAGGCCATCGCTGTGTTGGCCGCCTACCTTTCAGCCAAATATATCTTTGGTTGGTAGGTCTTGGGTTCACTTTAGGCAACAACTTGCCGAGAAACAGCAGCTTCACAAACTGCTTCTAAAGTTTAAAGCACATTTTTCATGATGTGCATGTTTTTACTCCTTATATTAGACGATGGTAGTGAATGTAGTTAGATGAGTGTGAACGTCTCTTTTTAATTTAATATTAATATCATTACTTTCGGATATCATTGGCACATTGTATAATCAATGAAAATTTTTAACTTTAAACTTCATAGCTTAGCGCCTAATAAGTGTTTTTGGTTGTTGGTAGGTCTTGGGTTCACTTTAGGCAACAACTTGCCGAGAAACAGCAGCTTTACAAACTGCTTCTAAAGTTTAAAGCACATTTTTCATGATGTGCATGTTTCTACTCCTTATATTAGACGATGGTAATGAATGTAGTTAGATGAGTGTGAACGTCTCTTTTTAATTTAATATTGATATCAATACTTTCGGATATCATTGGCACATTGTATAATCAATGAAAATTTTTAACTTTAAACTTCATAGCTTAGCGCCTAATAAGAGTTTTTGGTTGTTGGTAGGTATTTTTAATTTTTTATTCTTAAACTATTGTTTTCGGATGGAAATATAAAACAAATGGTTGTAAACATTTCCTTCAAGACAATAAAGCACGTTGTTTCGTTGCATTCATTTTGGAGTGGCAGTTTTTTTCGGTGATATACGGGAGCCTCATTGTTAAGAAAACAGTTCATGGTAACTGAACATTTATATTTCTATCTATGACTCTCGTTTGGTAACTTCTCAAAATTCATGGCTAACGCTGAACCTAACATTGCTCTTAGTGTCATCACTCATACCTTATACTAGATCCAAGGCTTCCAAACTGGGGGTGGGAAGGGGTAAGAGAGGGGGAGTGTGCGGAGAATTGTATCATAACTTACCGTAAGTTGAAATGCCTTTAATCATCTTCTTTTGAATCGATATCTTCATTTTATTGACTAACACACGCTGGATGTGTCTTTTTGATGGAAAATCAATTACATTTCAAGTGGAAACTAACATGAGCATTCATATGCATTTATATTTGTGCTGTAGTGCCACCTGGCCCCAAGAACGCATTTCCATCAGTGTCGTAAAACGAAAGTAATCAAAACAGGCAATCAGAGGAAGGAAAAATATTACATGGAGCCGATAAGAACTCATTGTTCTGAAACAGGCAAACTACAAAAAGCGAGAGGGAACTCCTGTGGTTAGGTTTTTTTCATTGGCCCGAGTTTAGCGGGCCAATCACATCGAAGTAAAGCTATAATCAAAGCAATCCCAGATCACGCTTTCGACTCTCAATTGAAATTTACCTTATTGAAAAACCACTGCTACCTTTAAGGGTTTTTTGTAGAGGCGGAGGGGTGAGGAGATGAGCTCAGAGAGAGAGACTTGTTGGGGTGTTTTAATTCCTTGGTGGAATGAAAGTCGACAAGTGAATCATGAGTCTGCCTTTGAACTACGACCAATCACCTCTGAGATCACCTGACCTCTGAGACAGATCTCATCACGTAGATTTGATCAGTTTAGACATTACAGGGCTGTCACAAAGGCCGGCTAGGGAACTTTTAATTGGCCAATATTTCGACTTGTATCATTGGTCTTCCTTGGGGCTGGTGTTTTTTTTTTATCAAAATGGTACTTTGAAAGTCTGGTCACGAGATGAACAGGGAATAGAAGACTTTTTTTCATGCCATGTAGAGCACTTTAAGAATTCAGTCGGCATCGCTGGACGATAGAGCGTATTTCAATTGCGTCGTAAACCAAAGCAGAGTAACCACAGCGGCCAATCATAACAAAGGGACACACCACAAGAGGCCAATCATAGTAAGGGGGAAACCACAAGAGGAAAATAGAAACTCATAGTATAAACAAACAACCTCTTTTAAGCGCGGGAATGCGCTAATGGCAAAGTGGTGATTGGTTTAGTTTTGCATCCGATCGGTCGAAAGGGTGGCATAAGTTTTCAGGACCAATCACAGACGGCATCAAAGCATGATCAATGCGATCCAAGATCACTTTTTACACTCAATTTAAAACGGCTCTGATAAGTACTTCCTTTCAAATCTTTCTCAACTTGGTCACAACAAAGAAAATTTACTTCCTCTCGGCGCCGAACGCCACAAAAATAGTTTTATTGTGCTCAAGAAGTGGCCATTGGCAAAAAGGGAAGCCAGTCCCAATCCAATGGAATTATTTACACCATTTGCTTTCTCAGTAATACTATTAAATGACATTCCACTATTAAATATATCTACAATCATGTTTTCTGTTGTAAATGTAATAAAGAAAACGTAGGTAAACTTGAGTGAGTTAACTCAATTTAACGGATTTAAACTGTTCTAATGTAAAATTTTTTGAATCAGCTGCTTGACAAATATCCTCACTGCTTCTCCTCAATATAAAATATTCAGTGATCATTAAAATACCTCGGGTAAAAAATCGTATATCAATGCTAAAGCTCTGTAATGGGTGTTTTTCTAGAGGCCCCTTGGGACAATCTAAAAAGTTCGTCTTTTATTGATTTAATTAAAGGTTGTGGAGACTGTCCGAGTGTAGATCCCCGCTGGTTAAAAGTACCGTTCGCGGACATGTTGAGTACGGTGTCGTGAGGTGGCATGCCCTGAAGATGAGATAGGAAACTTGTGTCCTTAGGAGGACTGGTACCTAGCACGCCTGGATAACTTGCCTAAAGCATCAAAAGAGAAGAATAACTGATTAATAAAAAAAGATCACGAAATAATTACTCTGACTCTTTGAATTTACTGTGGTTTAACAACACTTTTCTACTGATCAACCGATCAATTTCAGTATGTGAGAAATTACACGCCCACCCCTCCCCTAACCCAGCAACAGTCAAAAGATAACGAGAAGTTGCACAGTTGCCCAGATACTGGCAGTGTTCCTTTACACTCAAACTTACTTGAGCCAAATCAGGATAAAGTGCATCCATTGAGTCTTCAGCGGCGAAAGGACTCCATACAAGACCACCCTGATGTAAACAGAAAAAAAATCTCATTCACAAATTGAACATAAAAAAAGCTTCGATAGGAAAACATAGATGACATTGCTGCTCAGCATTGGTTCAGTTCCAAGCCCTGTGGTCATTCTATTTGCCATAGTTAGTCAGCAGTTTCCAATTTTCTAGTAAACTTGCCGACTGCTGACTCAGGGGAAACTTTCATACTTGAGACGTCTCAGCCAAAGCTAACAATAGTTGTCGGAAGGATTTCTAGAACCTGTCTTGTTACAAACAACGTGTAAGTATAGAATCTTTCCCAAAACTTTCACCGTAAGAGGATTCTTCTATACTGATACAAGCCAAGCTGGCTTTCAAATATTACACGGAACGAATTCACATGATCATCAAATTTGTTCTATTCATGCTGAGTAATTGTAGAATCCTATAGAATCTTTTTTGTCGGAAATTGCCAAACGGCTCTGGCGTTTGTGTCCCACCAGTTTCAATTTAAGCAAATTTATTTTCTCGTTTGTTCCTTACCATATCACTTCGTTGCTGTTGCACTGGGGTTATATAGACATTTTGTCCACTAGGGTCTGTGTACGCATACGTCGGAGGCGGCGCCCGCTGGTTCAAAATTCTGCAGATTAGAAAGATCACCAAGCACTCAGAATGACTATGACTTTATTGCGATCACACCCCCTTTCGATTTAAAAATTAGGAACGCATGATAGTAATTCAAATAAACAAAATAGCTCACCGTTGTCTATCTGCAGGGTCCCAGACTACTATTGGATCACGTGTCACAACCGGTCGTACAGGAGGGCGGCCTGGGTAACCCGGCATGCCAAGAGGGGTCTGAGGCATACCTACTGGGTAACCAGGCATTGTTGGCTGAACGCGCTTCCGCTGTCCAGGTGTCGGTTCTGTGGCTCGACCGTGGGCTGGGGGTGGCTCTGGCAAAGCAGGCTGCCCTCCGGTGTATCTATACATGAAGGTTTAAATTTAACATCGTTAACAAGTTCAATCTAATAAGTAATCTATGATCTTTGGCCGATTTCGAGGGAGCTATGTCACCATACTTGGATTCATATTCAAAGATGTGTGCAATAACTCTCCTCTACATTAAAAAGGCTTCAAAATGTCAGACCGGTATCATGGCATAATGAAAAAGAAAATGAAATGCGGAACAAGCATGATAATAGCGAGAAAGATTAAAACGGGTTGGAAATTCCAAACTTGAAAAATCTGCGCTCGTTTTTCCAAATTAGCAGACTGTGGCAACTCCATTTAAGGATGAAAAGATATAAGATCCTACAATTTTTGTACAACGGCAGCACATATTAAGTTCTCAGACAAAGAGGCTGAGTAAAAATCAAAACGAGACAGCTGACTTTCCATTAAAACAACTCACCTTGGAATAACAGCTGGACGAGCTGGGGTCGAGGAATATACCTGTGTGGGATGGGGGGCGGGATGCGAAGGATGTCCCTCGGGTATTTTTTCAGGTTTCTTCGCGGACTGTGGTCCTAATAGGGAGAAAGCGTCATCAAGCATAGCGTGCATACGTCTACGTGTTTCATTCATGTCAATCTCGGATTCCTCTTCGCTTGACGGATTCGAGGCCGAGTCCACAGAATTCCCGCGCTTCTTGTCACGGTCCTGAAATAATAAATTACAGGGTAGTCCTTAAAAGCTGTAATGGGTCAAATCTAGCCATCCATATCTTGCCATGATAAGGCGTGAAATTCAAAATTAACGCTTGAAACCGTGAAGTAGAGAGACAGATAAAATAATTCAAACGGGTTTCAATTTCAAGTTTTCTTAAACAGTTCTGCCTGGCAGTTTTTCAAAGTTTATCTTTGCCGTACGAAATATTTCATTTCTCGCTCCAGATCATGTTAGAGCGAATAGTCGGCGAAACAGCTTCTTTGAGAAATAACTGACATTAATTTTGAAAGATGCGATAACGTAACACCTTTTGGGCAGCCTGGGAAAGCTACAAATAATAATGATAACGACGGCTTATCACTAGCTTTCTGACACGCTTTTGGCTTTCACAGGGCTAAAACAATCTTAATTCTGACAGCCAAATCAGAATTCTATGGGGCGCCGGCTATGAAGTTAATGATCAATAAGAAAACGAAGAATACAAATCATACCCGTGTACTCGTAGAGGATGCTGTTTTCGGACTTTTCAGTTTGCGGTAACTCTTCAGATGCGGCACTCCTTCTTCATCCGTAGCCACTGAACTGCTTGGGGGACGTTTTCTTCGTGGTTTTCGCTTCTTTCCACTGCAAATGAAAATCTTTTGTTTAAAGACCCAAATAAATCACAAACATCTAGAACAATGAGAATGGAACGGAAGGAAGGAATGAACGTGAAGACTTCCCACAACAAAAAATACCTTAGACTCCGATCATATATTCTTAAGCGACCGTGAAAGCATACTTCCAATCTTTTCCTTAACATACATTCTACAAGATACTAATTGAAAATCAAAGAACTGAATATCAAAATTCGCCGGAAAATTTTTCAGTTTAATCTTGTGACTTTTCAGCAAGGAAAATGCCTGCAGTGGCTGAGGGCAAAAGCAATATTCTTGGTCATACAAACGAGCCTTAGTCAAAACAATTTCACAAATACGAAGCCATCGTTTCTTCAAAACGTCCTTCATTCCCATGATCAACTTTAACTCCCAAATGCCACTTCTCAGAAGGAATGCATGGTTTATGTCAAGAGGAAATCATATTCAGTTCAAATGTCTGACAGGCTCCTACGAAGAAGTTTCGATCATTATCGCAGATACCAACAATCAAAGGGGTATCATAGCAGATATAGTCCGTGGTAAACCAATATTCTGTACACAAATACTCACGTGATCACTCGCTCCGCATCATCGTCTCCGAGAGCATCGTCGATGTCATGCTGAGCTCTATCCCAGGCTCTCCTCTCGCTAACAACTGCACTTCCTGGGCTTCGAGAATCATTACGCTTCCTTTCTCGCAGTCTTTGCTTGTTCTTTTGCCGTTCCCAGGCCGCTCTCTGTTCCAACTCTTTTCTCTTCCCTTTGCCTTTTCGGCGGCCTCTTGAAGAGTCATCTTCGGATGGCGGCTAAGATACAAAATCACGCGTTGGCTCAAGAGGCACTGCCTTACTAACTACAGTAGCTATTCGGCAGAGAGTTTAAAGCAATTACAATTATATTGAGTTAGTAATCTCGACATTGAGAACTGACGATCAACAGAGGGAAGCCTAAAACTAAAAGAGTAAACATACACCACAGAGAACGATTATGCTTGCTGATAGAGACAGATTCAAATTACAGATAAAGAACTTAAACATATCAGGTGATTGTTTAGATACAAAAAATTGTAACTGTTACTGAACACGGCTTTTTGAAATTGGAAATGACAACGGTCAGGAAACTTCCTCGGTTAGTTATCGAGGGCCAAAAATTTTATTTCTTCTTTCACATTTACCTCTACTTTAACTCCAACCAAAGATTTCTGCTTCGGATCTAATGGGGGAAGGCTTGGGGCGGGATGTACTGAGGAACGGAACCGCACAGGGGGATAACGTGGGGGACCGCTAGCCTCACTCATTACGGCAACAGTTGGTATTTGGCCCGGTGAATGGCTTGGCTGGAAATAAAGATAAAAAAACCCTAATCTGTTACAAAAAAATGTTTTTAAAAATAATTTTCCTGAAAAATTAATTATTGAACTTCGAAAGAGGCCCTCGTGAAGGCTGGTTTCGTATGTAAAAATCGATTGTTTATCGTTACCTTTTCAGGTGGCGCTACACTTTCGGGTTCAGACTCGGACTCTTCTTCGGAGAGCTGACTATCTTCTTCGCTGTCCAGTTCAGATCGTTCCACAGGCCTCTGAGGTTGGGCCGGAGGGTGCTCTCTGGAGACCGGTGGTGGTTTTGCTGACGTTTTTCCTTTTGTTAACGCCTCAGTACTTCCAGTAGGTGTGACAGATACTGAGTTTTCTTCACCTTCTTCTTCTTCCTCTTCCTCAAAGGCGGGGTTTGTCCTGGCAAAAGGGGAGAGAAAGCAAAGTTGTTTATATAAAATTACAGTCACAATGCACACTTCAAAAACGGCCATCGCCTCAGTTATGGCGAAAATGATAATACTCATTACTACTCATAGGAGTCAAGAATGCCATCTCTGTGGCTCGTTAGCATCAATAACTGTCAGGGGTGAAGATAATAATAATTCATTTATTGTCATGTGATGAAGTCTACAACTTCTTGGAGGGGTGGATCAACAGACGAGACTATAAGATACTTTGGTACCGCGATTGAGTCTTAGTGAATGAGTATTTATAGGACTGGTCCGAAGAACAATAAACTGAACAGAGAATCTTTCATCCGCCACTTACTGCCTTTGTTCCCTAACCGGTAGTTTCTGTATTGGTCGCTTGGGAACCTTTCTCCGCAAAGAAGTTTCTCTTCTTCTGGATTTTTCGTTAGCATCCTCACCATCAGCACCAGAGGTTGGGGAAAGCGTTATAAAAGCCGTTGGCTTACCTGTAGATACTCCTGGTTCGGTGTAAGGAGCTAAACCATGGACAGGCTGAGGGTTGAAGAAAAACAACCAAATGAGAATTGGTATAGCATTCCAAGAATGATTTGGAAGAAATTATATGTGCGGCACAATTCTGTGGTTTGGTAACTGTAAGAGATTTCAGAGGAGCTATGGCCGAGTTTGGGCGTCTTGGTAAATTCGTCATTCTCAATCCGTTTGAATCTCTTCCAACCTCACAATTCCACCTTCCTCGATCCATTACAGGACATATTATACTTTGGGTCTAGAAACATTGAAGGAGGGATTCAACATAAACAAATAATGTGTGTATGTATTCGTTTCGCTTAACAGTCTCGTGTTTACCATCAATGAAAACAGAATTTCAACACCAGGAATCCTTCCAGAGAAGGAACAACTCAAGCTGAAAGAGGTCTCGAAACGAAGCCCTGCAGACCTCTTCTTCGGGTTCATTTGGCTATAAGCTGCCACTTGGCTATAAGCAAAAAATTCTTACCCTTCTCTTGTCTTTTTCCAACATTTCAACCATATGTGGATCAACCTTAGATGTCGGTGCTCCTTTCTTCCATCGCCACCAGATTAACAACACTATAATAATAATCAATAGAACTGGGCAGATGACCGCAGGAATAATCCACCATTTGATTGGTGATGAAGCCACGGTGGGCGGTATTTCAGTGGTCGGCACTACTGCTTGTCTGGGAGCAGTTAGGATCTAAATTAGTAAAAGAATGTCACAATTCACGACTTCAAAAACACATATTCGGGTAAACCAAGACAAAGGCTCACGGGAAATCTCCATGTGGGGCGCGGAATGGGCCCAATTTCAAATGAGGCGCTTCAACAGTCCCATTTGTTTGTTTCTGAGCAAGGACACGCTACTTACAAAGGGGAATGCGCTGTCAGCCAGAAGAAGATGTTACTGCCTGGTGTATAGCGATATACACAGGGAACAACCGCGTACGTAAGTACACATTTAACTGGTCTGTGCTATGTAAGTAAATCTTACCGCATATGGTCTGGTTAATGAGGTCATCTGGCTGGTGCTCAGTCGATTCATGACAGACACCACATAACTGGAGTTCACAACTTTACCAGAGTCAAACATGAAAAACGTAACATCTACTTCAGAGGCCTGGGAATCAGTTTTTCTGACAGCGTCTTTAATCTGATAAAAAAAATTCAGACGCTTTGTTAGCCTGCCACTTAACACTCACACATACTCGACCTCTACAACTGGATGAATTTTAATGAGAATTATCATTGAAGAGCAGTACTTGTAACAAGTCTTATTTTGGAAGACCTTTGCCGTGGAGTAAACCAGAATCGAATATCTACCCTATCAGCACCTTAATGATAAAAATACCCGACAGGTTCACGAAAGCTATGGTCCTAGCTCCTCTTCTGTAAGAGACGAAAAAGGCCCAAAATACTTCTTAGAGGTGAGCCAATTAACTCACAACACCTGACCCATCTCCGAGTTCCAAACCATGAAGCGACCAGAAATGTTTCTATATTCCCGGGTGAGATGCTAGTCAGTCGTAAATAACCACCCCCCCCCCCCTCCCCTAACGACCACCTAAGCATGTCTTCAGGTTTCTCAACAGTTCATTCAGCTCTACGAGACTCAAATGTCCTGCCGAATCACACAACACAATGGCCGGGCTACGGCTAGACCCCAAACCTCCAGATCCGGAGTACAGTGGGCTACTGTTTCAGGCTACAGTTCAGGTCACCGCATAGCTCTTCAACAATTCGATTGTAATGGTAACTTTTGAAACTTACAGTTGCGCTTGTGCTTCCGCTGCGTTTCTTTCTCCGCGAACTGATCTTGCCCTTAGCGTTCTGATACACCGTAGCAAGTTTGCTCGCTAGGTCACTTCTGAACGAGGCGCTGGTTAAATCCACACTTTCCGATACACTAACACCTATGATGACGTGATCCGCTTCAGTAGCAGTGAGCGAGTCAGGAATGTAAACCTGGACCAAGACCTGTGAACAAAACAACAATTTAGTTGAAATCTAGTCACGCACTACTAACAATCCCTATTCTCCTGATTACAAAAACTAGCGACTCGAAATGGAGAATAGAGAAGAGCAAAATACTATAATTTTGTTTTTAAACTATGGAAAGCGGAACTGCTTCACCTTTTCCGGAGTCAAACTTATCAAAAGAGGTAGAGGAAGCGAGAAAGTCGACCCCAAGGCAATAATTTGTACATGATCGTTAGATACCTCAACTTCAAGATCTGTGTTGAGCAAGTTGACATGAGGAACTTTAAAGGTTTCGACCACATCAGTTGCATTAACAGGAGTGCCATCAACAGAGATGTAAAATTCCAGGTACACAATGTTATTTGGTTCATGGATGATAGTCTTGATCTGAAAACAGAAATAATCATCAACTTAACAAAAATACAAATCAAGGTTAAACCTCCAGGCCAAAGACACTGAACCCTTCTTGTGCTTGTAGAAAATCACGCTGATGTTTACTTTAATCCTTGTTTTTTAAATCCCAGAGAAGTGACTTACTGTAGCGGTAACAGGGGTTGCTAACTGCTTCTGCTTTCCGTAATAGGCAGCCAGGTTATCTTCCAGCTTCTTTTTATTCGCTGGAGCGGAGATGTTCTCACTCGCAGACGATGCAATGATTAAGGATACAAGGATATACGATGGAGGTGATGTAGTTGGTAGTACTACCAAGGCCTCAGGCATGTTAACAACCTAAAAGAGATTATATCATGTAGCACGGTTAGTATTCAACAGGATTCCTTGGGAAAACTTCTCTCAGTTACTTCAAATTCAAATTCATACCTACCCTTCTCCCTCCTACCTTCCTCCCTCTTTCCCTTAACAGACCTACATGGCATTGCTGCTTCAATACTAGTATGGCAAATATTTAAGAAAACATTCACATAACTGTTGACGCCCGCTCTGAGTCTGTGCCATAAGTCGGCAAAGATTGACGACATGTCAATGTTTTTCCGGGTCACATGGCAATTTGCTAGGACTCAGCTATACCTTTGTGTGGCGTAAAGCAAGCACTTTGAGTGAACCGTTCAGACGAAAAATGCAACGCAACAGATCAGTTGCGAACCTCAGCTAACCGCGACTTGGTTATTAGCTCACCAGCTTTTCATGATATTCTCTTTTATTGTGACTGGCCGTTGTAGCTCATTCAAGACACTCAGTTGAAATACACTTAAACTGAAAAAAGAGAGTTTTCTAACTTACTTCGAAGTTGATGAAGTTTCCTAACTCGGCCTTTGTTAACCTCTGATAGGCTTGAACAGCCTCGGATGCAGGAACCTTCCTATCGTCTTGAGAGACGAAAAAGGTTACATTGACGACCTCTCCATTGTTCACACGCTCCATGTTGTCGATCTGTTGGAAAAAGTAAGGAAAAATGATCCTCAAAGGTGAGCAATAATGAACACAATTACAGATTGCAGAGCCTGAACAACGAAATCAGCGTTCCAAGGGGCTTAAGCCAATGTCTCCCAGGTATCGGTTATATGCTACTGTGCACTAGAGCCGTAATAAAAAAAAAAGAGTTGTAGTCATCATAAAACAGAACAATCATGTAGTCTGATGGGAGTCTGAAATGATCCACAAGATCTGTTGCGTCACTTGCATTTAGGTTGTTAAGAAGCTCAACATGAATGTCTTCGTGTACATCTAACCATACATACATGTACGCGTAAATTACGCGAGATAAGGTTAAGTATTCCCTCGCTCAATGAGCCAAACAAAGTTACAGATAACACCCCAGGTGCCTTCCCCTATTTGTCTTGGAACTAACATTGTGAACGCCGATACGATACACGCAGCTGGTTCCCAATGAAACAGCAGAAATTAACCAGTTGCTGAAATATCACAAGATTACAAGAAGCCCTCTTTCAATTGCCACTTTCAAACACACATATAGGTCCAGTCCGTTACAAGTAAACATCTACTAAAGGGGGGATTTGGCACGAAACAATAATTTCACATTGATATACATTTGCCGAAATCTCGGAGTGATGACCAGATAAAGAAAACCAATCAAACATAGAGTTATAATTTAGTTTTAACAACTGAGTTGATTATGTAAATTAGCCAGCGTAAAGAATTTCCAAAGCTAACGTTTCGAGCGTTACCGTTTTCCAGAGTGAAGCATTAGTCCTGCGTAAGGACAAAAGTAACGAAACCCACAGTACTTACAGTTACATTGATTTCGGGTGTTGCCCTTCTTTGCCTTCTGGTCGTCACTAAAGCGAAGGAATATGCCTTTGCGAGATTAACTTCCAGCTCCGATTTGAATTCTGGTGACTGAATATCTCTGTCGTTAGGCACTTTCACGATCGTTTCTACCAACAGAGATGGATCTAAAGGCTGAGGCGTGGGTACAGCCACAGAGCTTGACACCACTTGGGAAGCTGCTGCTGTGGGCGAAAGGTGTTGAGTTGTTGGTGGCGGGGTGGAAGATGATAACCCCGGGGAGGATAGGACGTCTGTGCCGACCACAGATGGACTCTTTGATTGAAATGAAGAAGTAGGAATGGCTGTTTTCTCAACGCTGATGACATGAATGGTCCCTTTGGATACTGACTGAGAGACGTTGAGCGTTTCAGACACAGAGCTTGATTTGATGACAGTGGAGACAGCACGTGACGTAGTTGTCTTGATGGAAAGTACGCTGGAGTTGCCAGAAACAACGGTAGAAGTACTGCTGGGTTTTAAAGTAAAATTCGAAAACATTGTGGTAGAAAGATACATTCGGGAAAATTCGGTGCTTGTGAAATTAACCTGGAGGGTTGGGCGGACAACTACTGAGGTGCTGACATTAAGTGATACGGGTGTTGACAAGTGACTAGCAGTCGCATTTGCCAAAAATCCCGATGTAAAGTTCGCATTCACTGTAGCTGTAGATGACACAGTGAATGATTGTGTTGTTACCAAAGTTGGCTGTACTATCCTCGTGGTATACACAACGTAGCACATCCCAAGACTCGAAATAGTAACTAAAGGTGGTTTATAAACACGTGAATTTGTGGTTATAGTCATAGAGGGGCTAACTACAGCACTGCTTTTCATTACTGACGTTGGTGCTGGAGACATGACAGAACTTGAAATAACCCCAACAGTTTCACTTGGAAAGGGAATGGATGATGGAGACTGGGACGAGAAGGATGAGACGGTGACGTTCTTGGTTACATTTGACACCGATGAAGCGAATGTAACTGAAGAACTTCCGACCATTGATGTCGAAGAAAATATTACACTTGCGTTTGATGGCTGCTGTGTCGGGCTCCTTCTCAAGGAGGCAAGTGAAGATGGTTGACTAACACCCGCAGCAGCAGATGAAGTCCTTATATCCGAGGTGTAAGTGGAGGAAAAAGTTTTATCAACATCAAATGTTGAGATGAGAGATGAAGTTCTTTCAACAATCGATGCAGTTAAAGATGACTTGAAATCCGAGGAAAGTGTTTGAGAGCTCCTAACAAAATCAGTAACCATTAACGAGATAGCCACACTTGCTGAGACATTTTGTACGATTGACGACACACTTGTGAATGAGTGACCTTCCATGGATGAGGTGTTAACCAATATGGCAGAAGACGATATTTTCAAATCCAAGGATGATGTTGGAGGCAGAGTTCCATTATACACAAACGTGGATGAGATCAACGTACCCATCGTAGGCTCAGTTGTCACTGAACGAGGTAAAGAGGACTCCACTGCTCCTGGTGATGATTTTGAGGGTAACTCAGGAACTGAGGAAAGGCTTCGTGTAGCCATGACAGAGTGGCTGCCTATATTATTACCAGGTTCTGACGGTGACAGATAAAAGCTGTTCGTTGCGCTACTTGGTGAGATCAAAACAGAGGTCGGAACACTCGTGCCATTGACGGCGGATTCTTGATATGAGGAATGACTAGAGCTGGGTGAAGCCGCAAGGGTGGGAACGGTAGAAGTCGAGTTTTCTGGAGGTAATGAGTGAGATGCATCCACTAGATTGGAGCTGTTGCCCAGTGAGACTGACGGTGGCTGTACGGATGACCTCGTCACCGACATAGGAACAGGGACGTCTACCACCGAAACCGATGTTCGAGCAGCAACTTGAGTGCTGCTATTAGATGCAAGAGTCACTCCACCTAACTGAGACGATGTCGTAGTTGGAAATTTTATTATAGCTGATTTTATTCCGACAACACTGCCAATACCAACAAAAGACTGTGGAGCAACGACACTAGAGCTGGTAAGAGACGGTAAATGCATTTCCGAAGAGGATGAAATCGTAATTCCACCTTCAGCTGACTGTGACGAACTGTTGGCTTTCAGAAGCGTTTGACTGGTCATAGGCGAAGACAGTACAATTGAATCTGCTTGACCAGAATGTAAAGTTGTGGAAGCCACAGTCGCCGTTACTGAGTGATTTAGTGTGAGGGAGGACAAGGATTGATTACCTGATGCTGCAAAACCAAACTCTCCAGCAGCTCGTTTTTTTCTACGTTTTTCACCAGGAAGTATTGATGCCGAAGCCTCCAAAATAGCTGATGATGACGACAAAAATTGTTCTCCAGCCGAAGATGTGCCCTCTATCAGCGAAACCGGCAATGAGGCAGGAACTTGAGTGGTGCTACCAGACGCAAGAGTCACTCCACCTTGTTGAAGTGATGTCGTAGCATGAAATATTATCAATCCTGATTTTACCCCGACAATACTGCCGCCAATTCCAACAAAAGACTGCGGAGCTTCAAGATTAGTACTGGTATGAGACGGCACAGGCATTTCCGAGGCGGATGGGATATTCTCTACGACAGTAGAAACGGTTTTATTGTCTTTAACAGCCGACAAACTTGAGGCTGCTACTGGTGGGATGCTGCTCAAAAGAGAACTAGTAACATTCACCTGAGTTTCAGTTGATAATACTTTCCCCATTGCATGTGAGGCACTAGTAGTAACACTCAAATTTAGATCTAGGTGTTTCGTCAAGAGAGTCTCAGTTTGACTACTTGAGATGGCTAGTGAACCAATGAACACAGGTGTTGAATTAAGGTTGGTGGATAACGTTTTGTTCGAAGCAACAGACTGAAGATTTCCACTTGTCGTTGGAGATGGCAGTGGCGTTAATGCTGTCGCATTTTTCTTCAAAACATCTGAAGATCCAGTAATATTTATTATCTTAGACGGACTTGACGCAACTTTTCTATGACTTGAACTTCCCATATACGTGCTTGACGATCCAGATTTTGATAAAAGCAGGATTGCATGCTGACTTGTGTTGATGCTTTTTCCTTCTGTCCCGGATTTTGATGGAGAAACAAAGATATTAAATGACTGAGCAGTTGATGGTGAACTGTCACCAGATATGTCGGAATTAATTGATGATGTCTGTGAACTTGTTGCACGAGTTTTGTTTGAAGACACTCTAATTACAGTCGTAGAAGACATGTTCCTCGGAACTGAAATACGTGCACTGGTAACAACTGGTGTGATGCTAACAGATGATGTGACTTCAGTGGCTAGAGTCTCGTTAGCAGTGGGTGTAACATGCAAGTCACTTACCGAGGCAGTTGATGTACCAGGTTTAGATGGTTTAGATTGAGAGTAAGTTGAAAAGATTTCTGTTTCAGGAGTGCTTGCCACCATAGCAGTCCCTATATCCTTCAAGGTACTATTAGGCTTTACCACAGTCACCACAGATGGCAATGTCAAGCTGACTGTGTTTACAATTTTTCCAGCAGTAGAAGTGGGTATGGAACCTATGTCTGAAGGAGAGGCGTCACTTGGCAACTTCGTTGAAGTTCTCTCGGTGCTTTTTGTTGTTACTCCCACTAACCATGTTGAAGATATTACCCTATCAGTAGAAACAGATGCCTGGGTCTGTGCTTGAGTTGTCATAGCAGGAGAATGTGTCAATGTCACTGTTGGCAATCCTGACTGCATCTTGGATGGACTTCCTATCTCCATTGTAATTCTTGGCGTTGTTGGCGTTGATGGAGCTGCAGTGTTATTACTTGTTGCAACAGGCAGGACAGTCTTTTCCACCACGTAATATATATAACAAGGGGTGGCATAGGAGGTGACCACAAACTCGTCCTTCGGAGATGACTTCTTTAGAGATACAGATGCTGTGGGAAACACTGCTGATTGCTTTTTTGATTGACTTGTATCATTCTGTGAGAATGCTAAACTCGAGGAAGCCTCAAGAGTCACTGAAGGAACACTTTTTGAGGTAAATGAAGTAAATGAACTTGATAATCCATCAGTTGTAACAACACTCACTGAACTTTGACGGAAAGTTACAGTTGAAGTGTTATGCAGAACAATCACTGAAGACTGGACTGTGGTATCTTTTGAGGCCACTGAACTTGATGTAAATCCACCTGTACTAGACAGTAAAATTGATGATGAGTGGCTTGTGACAGTTTTGGGCAAAACAGAGTTTGATCTTTTATCTTTAACTGTTGACAATGATAGGTTGCCTTCTAGGACCACAGAACTTGGCAGCAGAGGTACAGTTTGTACAGTAAAACTTTTAGATGACATCAGCACTGAGGTTTGATTAACACCCCTTGAGGGTGACATAGCCAATGTATCAGAAACCGACTGGTTGAGAGCATGTAATTTTGAGCTTGATACAGCTGCAGTTTGCTGAGTTGACTTTACAACAATACTTTGAGTTTGGATGGTTGCAGTTATTGCTGCATTTGAAGCTGGAAAAGTTGTTGCAAGTGTAGCATTTACTGCATGAACACTGGATTTAACTGATTCCGTGACAGTGGTGCCATGTCCCATGGTAGTTGCAGATTGCTGTGTGGCATTGAATACCATGCTTTTGCTTAAGGTGGTTGGAGATATTGTTGCCGTCAGATTTGAAACGGTTGTTGATTCTCTAATTGATTGACTGGGCAGTCCTGTTGAAGAATTATTAGTAATTATGGTATGAGACAACTGGCTTTCACTAGGTATTACTTTTGCTATAGGTGATGACATCTGCGGCAACAATGATGTCCTAGTAGAAGAAATATCATTTGATAGGTTTGCCACAGAAGAGGCAGCAATGGTACTGTATGACTTATTTGACAGTGTGGATGTTTGTTGCAGATAGGATGAAGAAGATGTTATTTTTGTTTCACTTATATCAGAAACCATTCTCCCACTTGAGCCATTTAAAGATGGAGTCCCTAAATAATGATTTGAACTCAGTGTTGTCATAACAGCTCCAATACCAGTGTAATTGAGACTGCTACTTTTAGAACTCTGTAAAGTGTGAGTTTCTGTCCTCAAAATACTGCTGGATAGTGTAGTTGATGTTGCACTGCTGGGCAGTTCACCATGTGTTGTCACATTATATGCTGTAAAAAAAAAATTTTAAAAAGTCATGAATAATAAATTCAAGTATAGATTGCCTCTAATTTTCAAATAAACATATCAACTATAGCTGCTGCTCTTGGTATTAGCTTAAACTACACAATGCCCTTTATTAAAATGCAAACAAATAATTAAGACCCTGCAATTACACAATCAGTCACATTTTTAAAGGAAACATTACTTCCTGTCAATCAATAGTAAAAGACAACAGGATGGACCCTTATTTACAAAATTTCTATGATTAATTCTTAAGAATTTCAAGTTTAAGTTGATGATCTGGAAGATTTCTTCAGGCTTATTGCAAGCATTTTGTTGTACTTTAAATTAAATCCCAGAAGCTGATAGGGATATAAATAACTACAATATTGATTTAAAAAATGGCTAAATTAAGATGACCTTAAAAACAACTGTTACTAAACATTGTTAGTATACTAAGAAATATTTTTAATTTTGCAAACGCCATGTTCATAAACATATACACAATGAGTTTAAACTTAACTGGGTAATTTTAAGTTATCAACTGAGTGGAAAATGTAAATTGGCCACTGTAAAGAGTTTAAAGGCCAATGTTTCGAGTGTTAGCCCTTTGTCAGAGTGGTTGCATGAACACTGGATTCAGAGCACTTCGCTCTAACGAAGGGCTAACGCTAGAAAAATAAGCCTTTAAAGTCTTTACAGTGGCCAATTTACATTTTCAACTCAGTTAATAACAGTAAATTACCTTGTTATAATCTCCCACCAACACAGCACCACAGTTTCTTTAGAAACTTACCCCTTTCATTTCTTAGTTTGAACTTTTCTGTGCTGCTCGTGCAATAAGTGCAAATTTTATAAACTCAAAATTTCAATAATACTGGAGATACCGTGTAAAAACCTTGATCAAAATTTACCATAGATCTGCATCACAAATCTCAAATTTGAGGGACTCTATGTGTCAATAAAGTCACGAAAAAATTATTTGCTTACGAATATAATAAACAGTTGTAAGGAAATGTGTACAAGTATATAGTTATTCACTTACTTTCAATAACACGATTAAAAACCTAAGTGAAAAATAAATAAATAAAAAAAGCTGTCTTTGGAAATTCATTCATTAAGAAAATCCTTCAAGACAATGACGGTATTAAAGAGGAAAATTTAAATAATTTGTTGGATTGTTTCAGTTACACAACTCATAACATTGCTAACCCAATGTAAATATTGGATAAACCCACATTGTAAAACATAGGATTTTTTCTTCGTCTCATTTGATCCAAAATCTTAAGGATCGAGGTTTGCCTCATTAACTATTGAGCATTAAATGTGCGTATGAAAGCTAGATGACTGATATGTGGTTGGAGAGTATCTCGAACGAAGAATACTAATTACTAGGCAGACTCGTCGGATAGACACACGTATTTGAAGTGGTAAATAAACTGTTACACGACATCTACACGTAGACAGCTTTGATCGCAGAGTTCTTACAGCTTGATTTAGGCTGAGAGACTAAAAAACTTAAAACCATGATATCGGGAATGAGGTATCACAAATTTTAAGTAACAAAATTATGAGTGAAATTTTGTATTTTTAAGACCGAAATTTGACAGGCCTTCGGCACTTTAAAGAACTCATTTCCAAGGGTTCAATTAGTTAATAAAGAAGTGCTATCTGTAACTGTCTCTTTCAGCTGAATATTTCAAGTCGAGATTACAATCTGTAGCAGCCTTGCCTCACACATCGCAATTATAAATATTCGCTCGACAAGAAAGAGGAAACATTGACCATTTTCTGAATACAGAATTCGACAATACCTCCAATTTACGCGCAAGATGAACTATAGATACGAGTGCAAGTAGTCTGAGAAATCACCGGTATTATTATTCAGACTATTCCCGTGAGAAATTATCTAAAAAAATCAACGATTGAGGCATATGAACAGGCAAACTTAAAGTTATATTCACACGCATAAGAGTTGAAAGGAGGGCACGGTTAGATACCGTGTTATAAATAAACCACATACAAACAATATAAATCGCTAACTTACCCGAATTCGACGATTTTATTGTGGTAGTAAATCCACCAATTTTACCCGATGTAATGTTTTGGATGCTTTGGTACAGAATACTCGTAGATGTGCTTGGCAACACGCTTGTGACGAAGCCAGAGTTCGAACTAGCGGCATATGATTTCGACGTTACGAAAACGATAACCAAGACAAAATTCATCCATAATGACTCCATACGCATCCTGATATTATTCACAGACGGCAAAATTACGATTGACTTCTTATTCACTTCGTCTGGATTGGTGTTACAACCATTCGTTCACTTATAAAATTCGGTTTTTTTTGCTCATGGCTGTTATGAGACTTCATTACCATAAAACCATGACAACAAGCTTATGTTGATCGATTTCAACGACGCGATTGTTGGAATAATTAAAAGTCATGTGATAATTCCGAGGTGATCATTCCAAAGTTATCTTTCTGAAAATATTCTTCACTGAAAATGTCAGTCCTACTACCTGGAGTGACAAAACAGTGTTCACGGATCTTAGAAATTTAATTAATGAAGATTTGTGGACAGAAAAGGCTCGAGAATATTCAACTGACTTGTCACACAATACAGCTTTCGAACACTATTGCGTGACAAAGTGATAAATCATTTAGAGGTCTGGGAATGAACAAATGAATTCAATATTTTCTAAATTTACAGATTGAAAAAATTTATAATTTTAATCATAACTTACCAAATAGATTTACGGAAATAAATGTCACCTCTCTAAGTCCTCCCTTCCTTAATAAACAAAAAATATAAAACTGAGAAATTTTAGAGTTCTTATTGTTTCGTGCCAGACATACAATTTTTTTCTAGTTGGTTCCATTAACTGCACGAGTACTCAGAAACACCAGACAGGCACTTGAGGATTCAACGAACACCTAATCACGCAGAACTAACTCCACAATAACAGGCACAATATAAATACACTTTCAAAAATGTTAATCTCCTTCATGGAGCAGTATGATAATACTTTTGTTTCACACCATCTGACGCGTCGGTCACGCCACGTATTTGGAATATTTTTCACAGAACCACATCACGATCATTCTCCAGCGAAAGAGCTAAAGTGAACAGGTGGCGTGACTTAACTCCATGTATGAGCTGATTTACACCTGCCTCATCCAACATAAATGTTTACACAGATTTCTTACGGCACAAGTGCTTTCTGATCAGCATGGACACGATAATCAGCATTCAAACGAAACCATGATATCAATTTCCTACAACAACATGCCCTCGGTTCGCTTAAATCGAAAGGTTGTGAGTAGGCATCGACCGTTCAGCCGGCGAGCTGTGTCAACATAATAATGGAGATCTTCAAGGACATTAGGATTCCTCTTCCAGAAAGTTTCGAATCGCCGAGTCTAACTCGAGTGGGAAAGTTTCAACGTGGCCTTCTAACGTGCGTGTTCTGTATATTGCCAGTGTTGCAGGGAGTCGCATGGCAGCGAAACGAAAAGAGTGTATATTCTGGATTTCGATGTGATATAGGAGATGGATATCTCGACGAAGACGAACAGAAATACCTTGTGTCTCGCTTTGTCGAGGATTACAGAAATAAATACAGCGGTGTTTCACAGGGTATGTTTATAATCTTCATTCTACTGAGTCTTTCAATCATCCATTTATACATGTCCTACGTGTCAGAAAGATTTAATTCTTGGTTCAAGCTAAAGACTCGTAAACAGCGCGGAAAAATCGTAACCGAACTGAAAACATCGACAGCCGTGTTTAGGGCTCATGTCATACAACTGGCAACAAAGCTTGTGTCTTCCGCGATCTTCATTATGTATAACTGTCTCGCACACTCTATTGTTTTGCCTCCGCGAAAGGAGTACCAAATAGACTGGACTCCCTTATCTCTCCTGAAGCGTGGCTCGATTTCTACTACAGCTCTTTGTTACGCCGATCAAGCCCTCGAATTATCAATCTTTAATGTCGGTTTGTTGAGCTTTGTAACGTTTTGCGGTATACTGAATTTAACAGAACTTGTCTATACCTGGCAAGAGACACGAGCCTTAGAGCAAACTTCCGATTATTATTTTTGCATGTTTCTGTTACGACACAATAGCGTGACCGAAGCTACAAATATGCAGATAGAGAAAGAATTATTTTTAGAAGAACAGAGGAATAAGATACTCTTGGCGAAGAGACCTGTAAATCAACACCCTTTCATCAAATCTTGGAGTTCATTAGTACATAGAATTCCTCGCAAGATCTTCATTTCACAGAGGAAATTAAAATTTAAAGGAATCAAGAAACAGAAACACAAGCAAGAATTGTTCAGGACCTACAGCAGAACCAAAAAAATTCCCGTAACTTCTCTGCAGGATTTTTTAAAGCCGGATAGAGACACGCAAAATCCGAAAATAATCCTCTTGACAGGACCTCCGGGTATTGGCAAAACTGAACTTGTTGCCCAGATTGTCGAAGAATTCAACGCTGTCGAAATCGAACTATGTAATCTAAATTTTGTTTTCGTCTTCAATTTCAAGGAGCTCAATCTAGTCGACGAACCGATCACTTTACAAGCGTTTCTAAATCTTTCGCTTTACAATTCAAATGTTAGTGACGTTGTTTATCAACAAATTGTAGGAAATCCGGAAGAAGTGCTTTTTATCTTCGATGGCCTCAATGAGTGGTCTTTGAGATCTGTGGAAGAAAACGGATTGAAGATGTCTTTAGCTTCTCTTGTCTTGAAACTTTTAACTGGGGACCTTTTATCAGGATCAACTATCATCGTAACTTCCCGACCAACGCCCTTACTATCAGAGATTAGCGAAATGGTAACATTTGATAGATATGCAGAGCTGGCCTGTTTCAAGCCTGAAGATTTGAAGACTTGCATCCAAGAGTGTTTCCAGAACAACGAAGAGGTCAGGAATTCTGTCAAAAAACGCATCTCCAGTGACAACGCTCTTGAAGTCCTTTGTCGTTTACCTCAAAACTGCCGCCTGTTCTGTCTGTATGTTGACTTCTTTGCTTCAAAGAAAACCATTAAGGGGATCGGCTCTCTCAAACTACCAGCCACAACAACTGAATTGTTCGAGAGAATGATTGAAACCGTAACAGCGGTGGAATCGGATGAAAGTAACCACGAGATATTCCCATCAGATCATTATGACTTTTCAAAGGGCTCTAAAGAAGTCTTGGAAAAACTATCATGTCTTGCATTAGAAGGAATAATAAACGAAAGATACGTTTTTAGAAAGGAAGAGTTCTCTCAAGTTGAACTGAGCGCTTTTGAGGTAGAAATTCTTGAGGAAGCCGGCTTGTTAAGTCGCTTAAGAGGCTTTAAATTGAACATGTACTGTTTCAGTTGTCTGTCCCTCCAAGAGTACTTCGCCGCCAGTAGAATTGTTCAATCCAGTACTACGGGCGATTTCCGTGATTTTCTGGAAAAGGCAAACGAGAACCATTGTGCAACACTGCAGTTTGTGGCTGGGTTGTGCAAAGATGGACAAAAAGGAAAGAGTACTTTTGTGTGCTTGATGCAACATTTAACCCAATCGATTAAACTTAACAATCATTTCGTTGACGAACCAGTGGTTGATAACCAAGCGATTGCTTTTCTTTGTAAATGCATCGCTGAGAACCCGACAAAACTGGGCCTACCTTTTGCTAAAGAGGTGACCTCTTCCATATCGCCGTTCAGGCCGATTGTCTTCACAGAGATGGGCAATAACCCGCTAGAGACGCAGGCTGTCTTATTTTGCTTAAAAGAGGCCAATGGTTGCAACGTCAAGAGAGTCATTTTTGAGGGCAACTGCATGGAAGATGACGGATTTCGTCAAGTGGCTGCATCGCTCTGCCACAAATCGTGCAAGTTGGACCAGGTGAGTTTGACAAATTCTGGTGTTACTGATGGCGCCATGTTATCGTTCCTTGAAAGCACTGCAAGCCACTCATTCCTTGGAATTAGGATCCTTGGCTTGAGAGGCAATGACATTTCCAGCGAAGGAGCAAAATATCTTGCCTGCGTGCTTTTCAACGATTGGTGCCAATTGGAGGAGCTTCACCTGGGCAACAACAGAATCGGTGACCAAGGAGTAGAGTATTTCAGTGAAGCTCTTTGCTGTGGAAGTAGTAAAATTCACACCTTGGATTTGAGCTCCAATGGAATAACCCACAATGGTGTTTACCACTTGAGCAAGGCTCTTAGTAATCCTGTTTGTAATGTGAAACGTCTGTACCTTCAGCAAAACAGAATCCTTGACTTTGGAATGCAAGACCTCTGCGAGTCTCTGTGCATAGGAGAATGCAATCTAAGAGTCCTGTTCGTCAGCTCCAACGAAATCACTGACAATGGGATTGTGTACGTGGAAAAAGCTCTGGCACACAAGTCTTGCAGGCTCCAAGAGCTCTACCTTGGCTACAACCTCATCACCGACAAAGGTGTCAAGAGTCTGCTGCAGGCACTGCCTACTGATCAAATAAACTTGAAGATTTTGTCCCTGGCCAACAATCCTATAACAGACACTGGAGTAAAAATGTTGGCCAACGCTCTAAGAAACTCAAGCTGTAACCTGCACAGGCTTTTTATTAGTCTAGGACGCTCACAGCTTGCGGACACAAAACGCTCAAAGCTGCAAGTGCGATACGTCAATGCATTTTAATCCCCCAAACGAGGACCAGTGAGCACTTAAAGAAAGTAAAGCAGCGAGAAACTTCCTTGCGCTGCTTTTGTTGTCATGAACTGGACACATCCGCGTATTTTGAATGTAAAAGCTAATGGGTTAAGGTTAGGTTCTATTTTAAAAATTTGCATGCTATCAGAGAGATTTGTTGTTGTGATAATTTTCATACTTGCACTTCAATTTAAAATTTTTAAGCAAAAATTTTGGTATCAACAAGGCTTACTAAACTGTCACTGGTTTACAAGACAGGTTGCTATGATAAGAAAGAAAATTACAATTTCAATTTCGTTTATTTCTGGCTAACAACTTTGCAGTGTCATGAACCACGTGTTAATAAAGTAGGCAGGTGCTATACTTTTTGTGCACGTCATTCTCTTCATCCAGGATCGTGGCGACGTTTCCATTTTAATATAAATGCAAATGATTGGTGTCAATACGCAAACTTTTCATCTGTTTTATGTTTAAAAAAAAATGCTTTTACAAATTAAGTATGGACGTGTCCTTAAAGAGGGACTGTCTTGATGTTATAATTGGCTAAGATCCAAGAAGTATCTCAAACGTGTGGGCTATTAAAAGATATTAGTTGGGTTAATCAGAGAACAAAAGCAAAGGATTCTTTGTTTAAAAAACTCACCCACAACAAAGACTTCAATTTCAACAGAGTCTTCAGTCTCCATAGGTCTTCCCTCCTTCCAAACCGCTCTACATGTATACATTCCAGCGTCGTCCCTCCCTACCCTGGTGATTCTTATTGAGCCACTATATGGATCCATGACCTTCCCGTCCGTGGGAAGAGTCAACTCCTCGCGATCTTTTGTCCAATGATATTTGAGTGGTGGGTAAGCGGATAGTTCTAGTTGTATAGTACCATTTTGGCCGTAGTTCAGTCGTTGAGGTGTCTTGACGCCATGGCTAAAAACTGGTGAAAAGGTGAGGTTAGGGACCTTTAAATAGGAAAATTATGGTGTGACGTTGACAAGCCGTGAACTGGGCCATTAGTGATACCAGCGCTTCTCAAACATGACGCAAAAAATTTTCACGTAAATGACTCACATAAGTTCACTACTTTCATTTATCACCTCTGCTAAATCGTAAGAATTGTTTTTTCTTCCTAAATTGCCTGGAGTTATAAAGCATACATCAGTTAACCATTTACCTTCAGAGCCTTCATGAGCAAGCGCAAGAAAAGTGAAATGTGGGCTTGCGCGGTGTGATTGTGTGTAACGTGAGCCGCGGTAAGATGCGATGCATTTGTATGATTGATTTCACATCTAACAGAGGTCACAGCTGACTAAAGACTCACCAAAACCCCTCGTATTACAAAAGCTGCGGCTTGTATAAACAATGACTTGTGTGGAAAATGAACAGGTTTAAAGCACCACTTCTAACATTATTTTGTGTCTTAAAAAAAAAAAAACCGGTTTACGCCCCCGAGATATGAACCCTAATGAAGTGCATGAGGTCGAATTACTGTTTACCCCAAAACGAAAAGGATCCAAGCACTTTAATTTATCTAAAGTCTCTGAATCAGATGCGACATTAAGTTGAATTAAACGTATTTAAAGTAGTCGGTCCAGGCGTCCAGTCAGTGACACAAAGCGCGATAGTAAACGGCGGTAGTATAGTAGCGGAGGGGGGGAAAAGCGGGGGAGGTTTGGGTCGGGTACCCGGCCCAGCTCGACCCAAGCCACCTTCGCCTTTTCACTCACTCGCAAGTATCGTGCTCGTGCAATCGCTCGTCATTGTACTAACCGAACGCCTGAACAGGTTATATTTTAAGTCTTAAAATTTCTTAACACTTACAATCGACCTCCAGAGTGAAGCTCTTTGATTCCTCAGATCCCCAGCATGTGTAATTACCTCCATCATCAACTTTGACGTCTTCTATCACCAGAACGTAGTAATGATCGTTTTCTTGTACCCGTAATCTACCAGACTCCTGATTCAACGTGATGTTAATGCTTTCAATAGCGGGAAGCCCAAAACTTGCTTCCCTGGAAGGTGTTTCCCAGGCGATAAAACGCTCACCTTTTACTTCACATTTAATCCTTATTGTACGAAATTGTTGAGCAGTTCTGGTTTCAAAAGGAAGATTTAGCACAGCACCTGTGAGGGAACATGACGTCTGTATCTTGAAATCAGTTAATAAATGATAAATTTTATTGAAACAATTGGAAATGACTTTTTTTATCGAAGGAGAGCTCGGCATGATAAAATCAAAAACAGAGCTTTTGAGTTTGCATCAAATTGCATTACATGCAATTTCCCCTTTTTCATTTTGCTTCCCAAAAGGCATATTTGTAAATAGGATATTTTTTACAACGCATGAAGAACTTCTTTATTAGCAATTTTTTTAAACAACGATCTTTTATCTTACTCACCATGTTGGTGTGAATTCATTACTATCATCAACAAGGTGAGGATTATTTTATCGACGAAACACATGCTGACAGTACCATAGGAGTAGGCAGCTCTTCAAGAAAACATCATCCTGACCAAAAAACACAGAAACAAGTCACAGAAAGCCGGCAGATAGTCAGGTCATTCTGACATTATGGCAGGACTATGCTTCCCTTGAGGAAAACTTCTTTTTGGAAAAAAAAGACTGGTTTGAGTTATAGAACGACCGTCAGACAGTCAGTGAGTTTGTGAATTTATGAATAAGTTAGTCAATCAGTCAGCCAATCAATAGCAGTTTCAATCAGTATGTCAATAATTAGTTGTTTCTGGAAAGTTTCGCACATGGTTTTGAGATTGTGAAATGTGAAAAAGAAACAGCACTCATCAAGAGGATGAGGGATAATCAGACAGAATCCTTAGTAGAAGAATTATCAGGACAGCTATGTTCAAGTAATGAAACCGGAGACATCAATACACTAAAAATTTGGATTTCAATCTCTCTGGCCTCTGTTTTTAAAATTCGAAAAAAGGTCACATATTCCAGCAAAAACAATTCCGAATATACAGGAATATGCAGGAATTAAAACCCACTATTTAATTAATGTAAGAGAATCGATTAGCAAATTAAAGGCGATTCGTCGGTTATTTCGCAAACTCTTAAGAAACACTTGTCAACCTCGCATCAACGCACGAAATCTACACCCGTCACCTAGCAACGCCGTACTACATCGCAGGCTCATCACAATCAGAGAAAGGCCATAAATTTTCCCTGTTAGATCAGGAAAGTTGATTAATTTTCTGACAAATTGCGATAGATCATCGTCATAAGAAACAAGAAATATATTTTGAACTGTAGTCTCAACGTCTGGAAATAGTTCTCGAGCTTAATCGTAATTTTTTTCTGTACAAAGCACCCGTATTTTTGAGATAAAAAAAGTACAGTTTAGATCAAGAAAACTCGAAAAGCTGAAACTTATGCGGCAGATTCTAATATTGTTTTGAATCTATCGCAGTTTCCGACTTTGAAAAGTTAGAGTGCATCTCCAACTGAGATGTGTCACAGATGGGGCTTGATTGAAAAGAATCATATGCGAGACAAGCAAAGGAGGTGTTGCTACGGCAATCAATGTGTCAAATACAAACATAGAAGATTTTACAGACGTATTCTTTTGTTGAGTTTCACCATAAAACGTAAAATATGTCTTGAAATATGGCCTAAAATATTCAAAAGTACACTACACAGTTCTAAATGGATTTCTCTTCAGGTTACTCTTAAGTTTGGACTAGCGATCGATCGATCGACCATTTGAGCTCCAGTCCATAGTCTATTTTAACCTGAGTAAAGCTGCGAGCGGTTAATTATTATAAATTACATAAATCTGAATTGAAAAGATCTAGAAAAGGAAAGTAAGGTTGTAAGGGATAAAGCGAACAAGAGTACTTACCTATTACCAGCCGCAGCTACCAAAGCTTTCACATCGAAATAAACGATGATACAATGTTCGGACATGAAAAAGGCAAAAGGAAACCAGTTTCAACACCACAGCACAATAGCTCGCTGTTCAATCGCCTGTCTATGGTTAAACTTAGCAGCTATACACAATTGATTGTGATTCGCCGACGTCAGATAAAGGCGAAACCAGCTCAGAACAAAAATGCAATTCAAAATCGTGATCAAAATAGACTGTCTGTACCTCGGCTGGCAAAATTACAGCTGGCTTTGTGTAAACAAACATCACGCTAGCGTCATTCAGTTTGAAAGGAAGATCAATCACTTGGATACCTTCTGTCAGTGAGCTAGCAAATCGGCGTGGCTTGCCCTCATTACATATTAAACTTAATCGGCGGTTGACGCAAATTAGCTAAACACACTGGTTAATTTTTTTGTTGTTGAAAGAATCAGTTCTTGCGCCGTCAAGTAAGTCCGAGCAAAGGACTGGGGACCTGCTGTGGGTACTTTAGCCTACAACGTAACTGGGATGGGAAGAAGTCTAACAGTAAATTGAATTCTTATCTCGAATTCATCCATTACCTCTCATAGAACTTATTGATTGCCAGCTTTCCTTCTCTTTCTTGCTCGCTGCTAGGCTGAGATGAATGGCGAGAGAATTGACCTAAGGTAAATTACCAAGGAGCTCCCATTTTGCAAAGACATTCACAAGCTTGGCTAACTCTATATATTATGCAATGTTTATGCTTCATTAGCACGTCGGTTTGCAGTACCACAAAGAAACTGAAAGATAATCAAAGGGAAGGAAAAGCAAAAATGAAAAGAAAACAAAGTACGCTACACAAGTTTCCCACCAATAAAAAATAAGTTTATTGAACATTTTCGGCCTTCATCAACGGCCTCCAAATCAATCAATGCTCTGTATTTACAAAGAACACCATTAATAAAACAGTCGTACCAAGACTCCTCGTGATTTATCACCAGTATTGAATAAAATATACTTTTTACACTTGCTACACACAAATTGTCACTTCAAGAGCTCTGTCACGGATAAGACTTCCTAAAGGAAGAAAAAATTTATAAAAGGCAATATCTGATTGAAAAGACTAAATCAAAGGTCCCTTGTGACCGAGCCTTCAGGTTGAATCTGCGTAGATAATCAAGGTATTGCTTATAAATAACATTAAGATAATCTTTTAATATCAATACCCATCCCATTAGAGTCAACTTCCCAAAGTTAGAAACATTACTTCATAAAAACTCGTGGCAAGATTGTTTGTATAAGGTTAAATTTCTGCAAAAAACGCTGAGCTTTGACAAGGATCGAATATACGATGCTTTTTGTATCGTTTATAATAATTACTGTCTTAAAATATGAAGGAATTTCTTTGAAAAAATATCTACTGACGAGAAGCTGTTCTGTTTAAGGCAATGGGAAACAGTGAACTAATTGTTTTGATGGTACTAATACTATAATATTCTGACTCTAGCAATACTACCAACCAACGCGAATTGTAATGGCTTTTTGATAATTACACCCCACACATCGGAAAACGTGAGTACATTTATCAACTGAGTTACCTCAATAAAAACAAGACAAATAATATTCTTGAAATTACATGCAATTCTTATGAAGAACAAAGTACTTGCTCCAACACTGCTCTAACAACTCAAAATTATGTTATATTTATAATTTGATTCGCATAATTAAGATGTTATTCTCAAACTGTGC